CCAGATGCAGTTAGTCACAAGTATGATATGTACGCAAAACAGTATGCAGGTGCACATATGTACGGATGAGGAAAATTGGATGTCTTGCTCAATAATTGCGCTTGTGTGGGGTCTAAAGGCTATTGACCAAAGCGAAGACAAATCTTCCCAGTGGCGTCAAAACAAATAAAGGTCGTTTAACTCGCCAAACAAAGAACGTCACAAGATGTCCAAGCATATATATGTATGTACATCATTTTGTACATCCCTCCCCAGATAGAACACACATACAAACACCGAACAGCTGCGACCAGTGCTGGAAAATATGTTTGAGACTTATCGATAACTCGAACAACTCCACCATTAGAGCGAGCGAGATAGCTGCACTGCACCAATGCACTACGCATTTAGTTTTCAATGTCTAATTTTGCGTACTGCAGCTATCCAATTAAGTGGCCTTCATCTGTTACATGCTTTTGGCCATGTAAATTCTTGTTCTCGATTAATTAGACAAAGGATTTAGCCACATTAAGTGCTATATAAAGCAAATCAAACCAAACTACTGCCCGAGAGTGAGCGAGATAGCAGGCGTCGGCGTTCCAGTCAGGCCGCCTATAAATACGAGTCGCCACTGGGAAAACTGTTCATTAGCTGTGAAAAAATAGTAGAGAGCGGACGTGGAAAGAGAAGAAAGAAAAAATAAAGCAAGTTTTTGAACATAGAAAATTATTATAATTCAAAAAGTGCAAAACCGAGAAAATATTCAAGAAAGAAATTACGTTTTTATTGTGCGGTTCAAGAAAATAAGGTGAGTTGAGTGAAAATTGATCAGGATTTTCTATTCTTTTTTTTTTTTTTGCATCCAAAATGGCGACGCAACATGAAAAGTGCAGCAAATAAAAAATGGTGTTAGATATATATATATATATATGTGTATACGCAGTTCCAGGGGGCAATGTTTTTCATCCATTTTAGAGATTGATTAGTCACTGAAACTAAATTTGCAAATTTATTGCGAAATTATTTTAGTTGGGATAAACCAATAAAATTTGTGTGTATGCCATAAAAAAAATATCGAAAAAAACATCTAGGTCATGGGAACTGGGTCACTACGCAGAAAATGAATTGCGCACTTTCCTTCAACTTTCCATATCTAAAACTATTTTTTTTTTGTTTTTAATTCAGCCAACATGCAAATTTTTGTGAAGACTTTGACCGGCAAGACCATCACTTTGGAGGTTGAGCCTTCCGATACCATTGAGAACGTGAAGGCCAAGATCCAGGACAAGGAGGGAATTCCCCCAGACCAGCAGCGATTGATCTTCGCCGGAAAACAGCTGGAAGATGGACGCACCTTGTCCGACTACAACATCCAGAAGGAGTCTACCCTCCACTTGGTGCTCCGCCTGCGTGGTGGCATGCAGATCTTTGTCAAGACCCTCACTGGCAAGACCATCACTTTGGAGGTCGAGCCCTCCGATACCATTGAGAACGTGAAGGCTAAAATCCAGGACAAGGAAGGCATTCCCCCAGACCAGCAGCGTTTGATCTTTGCTGGCAAGCAGTTGGAGGACGGACGCACCTTGTCCGACTACAACATCCAGAAGGAGTCTACCCTCCACTTGGTGCTCCGTCTGCGTGGTGGCATGCAGATCTTTGTCAAGACCCTCACTGGCAAGACCATCACTTTGGAGGTCGAGCCCTCCGATACCATTGAGAACGTGAAGGCTAAAATCCAGGACAAGGAAGGCATTCCCCCAGACCAGCAGCGTTTGATCTTTGCTGGCAAGCAGTTGGAGGACGGACGCACCTTGTCCGACTACAACATCCAGAAGGAGTCTACCCTCCACTTGGTGCTCCGTCTGCGTGGTGGCATGCAGATCTTTGTCAAGACTCTCACTGGCAAGACCATCACCCTTGAGGTCGAGCCCTCCGATACCATCGAGAACGTGAAGGCTAAAATCCAGGACAAGGAAGGCATTCCCCCAGACCAGCAGCGTTTGATCTTTGCTGGCAAGCAGTTGGAGGACGGACGCACCTTGTCCGACTACAACATCCAGAAGGAGTCTACCCTCCACTTGGTGCTCCGTCTGCGTGGTGGCATGCAGATCTTTGTCAAGACTCTCACTGGCAAGACCATCACCCTTGAGGTCGAGCCCTCCGATACCATCGAGAACGTGAAGGCTAAAATCCAGGACAAGGAAGGCATTCCCCCAGACCAGCAGCGTTTGATCTTTGCTGGCAAGCAGTTGGAGGACGGACGCACCTTGTCCGACTACAACATCCAGAAGGAGTCTACCCTCCACTTGGTGCTCCGTCTGCGTGGTGGCATGCAGATCTTTGTCAAGACCCTCACTGGCAAGACCATCACTTTGGAGGTCGAGCCCTCCGATACCATTGAGAACGTGAAGGCTAAAATCCAGGACAAGGAAGGCATTCCCCCAGACCAGCAGCGTTTGATCTTTGCTGGCAAGCAGTTGGAGGACGGACGCACCTTGTCCGACTACAACATCCAGAAGGAGTCTACCCTCCACTTGGTGCTCCGTCTGCGTGGTGGCATGCAGATCTTTGTCAAGACTCTCACTGGCAAGACCATCACCCTTGAGGTCGAGCCCTCCGATACCATCGAGAACGTGAAGGCTAAAATCCAGGACAAGGAAGGCATTCCCCCAGACCAGCAGCGTTTGATCTTTGCTGGCAAGCAGTTGGAGGACGGACGCACCTTGTCCGACTACAACATCCAGAAGGAGTCTACCCTCCACTTGGTGCTCCGTCTGCGTGGTGGCATGCAGATCTTTGTCAAGACTCTCACTGGCAAGACCATCACCCTTGAGGTCGAGCCCTCCGATACCATCGAGAACGTGAAGGCTAAAATCCAGGACAAGGAAGGCATTCCCCCAGACCAGCAGCGTTTGATCTTTGCTGGCAAGCAGTTGGAGGACGGACGCACCTTGTCCGACTACAACATCCAGAAGGAGTCTACCCTCCACTTGGTGCTCCGCCTGCGTGGTGGCATGCAGATCTTTGTCAAGACTCTCACTGGCAAGACCATCACCCTTGAGGTCGAGCCCTCCGATACCATTGAGAACGTGAAGGCTAAAATCCAGGACAAGGAAGGCATTCCCCCAGACCAGCAGCGTTTGATCTTTGCTGGCAAGCAGTTGGAGGACGGACGCACCTTGTCCGACTACAACATCCAGAAGGAGTCTACCCTCCACTTGGTGCTCCGCCTGCGTGGTGGCATGCAGATCTTTGTCAAGACTCTCACTGGCAAGACCATCACCCTTGAGGTCGAGCCCTCCGATACCATTGAGAACGTGAAGGCTAAAATCCAGGACAAGGAAGGCATTCCCCCAGACCAGCAGCGTTTGATCTTTGCTGGCAAGCAGTTGGAGGACGGACGCACCTTGTCCGACTACAACATCCAGAAGGAGTCCACTTTGCATTTGGTCCTGCGTCTGCGTGGTGGGGCTCTCTAGATTTTCTCAGCATTATTGTAATCTCATAAATTTGGTCTTGCCAAGGCATAACACAAGTATTCATTCTAAATTTTCGTTAATTGGCTTAAATAAAAAGCAACAATTATAATCACAATAAATATTGGTATTTAAAAAATACATTTTTATTTTGTGTGTTTAAGAATTATTATACCCTTGCAGAGGGTATTATAATTTTGGTCAAAAGTGTGCAACGCAGTGAAGGAGACATCTCCGACCCTATAAAGTATATATATTCTTGATCAGGATCACCTCCTGAGTTGATATAGCCATGTCCGTCTGTCCGTCTGTCCGTCTGTCTGTCCGTCTGTCTGTTTCTACGCGAACTAGTCTCTCAGTTTTAAAGATATCGAATTGAAACTTTGCACACACCCTTCTTTCCTTTGCACGCAGTATATAAGTCGGAACGGCCGGGATCGGCCGACTATATCCTATAGCTGCCATATAACTGAACGATCGGAAATGCCATAACTTTGGTGTTTTTAAAGTTAGGAAGTTGGGATTTTCTATGGGTTTTACATTTGGCCAATCAATTTTACGTACCAAATTTTATAAGGATCAGCCGACTATATCCTATAGCTGCCATATAACTGAACGATCGGAAATGCCACAACTTTGGTGTTTGTAAAGTTAGAAAGTTGGGATTTTCTATGGATTTTACATTTGGCCAATCAATTTGACGTACCAAATTTTATAAGGATCGGCCGACTATATCCTATAGCTGCCATATAACTGATTGATCGGAAATGCCATAACTTTGGTGTTTGTAAAGTTAGGAAGTTGGGATTTTCTATGGGTTTTATTTTGGGCCAATCAATCCGACCTACCAAATTTCATAGGGATCGGCCGACTATATCCTATAGCTGCCTTATAACTGAACGATTGGAAATGCCATAACTTTGGTGTTTTTGAAGTTAGGAAGTTGGGATTTTTTATGAGTATTAAGAATGCATCATATGAATAATTTTGGAGAATATAATTTACAGAGTATTCTGCAAGGGTATATCAACTTCGGCTCCGCCCGAAGTTAGCTTTCCTTTCTTGTTTTTTGTAGTTTTCTTGGGATGCCAACTACTGGTAGCAAGTATAGTTCGCTATGTTCTACTAATTTTAAGAATATGCTACATAATTTGTATATATGTAGCACTAAAATGGGCTGTTTGTTTGTTAATAAATAAATATTTTGTTATTTTGGGTTAAAGTAAAACTAAATTCTTTGAGTATTTCCATAATTTATAGTATCTCGGAAACGACAAATATGTTGAAAGCATACTGCTCCCATATTCAAGTTTTTACAGCTACATAAATAAGCATATAATTTAATTCTTTTCTAATAGGTTTTGTTTCTCAAGTTTGTCCTATTAATATGAGCAGTAGGTATTCTTAAATTGAATTTATAAATTTAGTACATACTCATTTATTTTTAAAGCCTAGTACTCAGATCGACGAAAACTACATTAACTAGAAAACGGATTGGTTTGGTATATTTTGGGGAGTCCGCTGGCACATTTGAGCGGTGGAGCCGGTCACACCAAAAAATCCAGCTGAAAAAACTGAGGAACAACAGGTTCGCAGTTCGATTTCGAGAGCAGGCATTCAAAATGAGCAAGGAAATCCGTTTGGCCACCGTCAAGCAGCACAACAAGCCCACTGATCTGTGGGTGGTCATTGACAATAAGGTGTACGATGTGACCAAGTTCCGGCTCGAGGCAAGTCTTTGAAGATTCGGGGATTTGGGGGCGATTACATCCAATTCCATCCAATCCATTGCAATTGCAGCATCCCGGTGGCGAGGACACCCTGGTGGATGTAGCCGGTCGCGATGCCACAAAAGATTTCAATGATGTAGGGCATAGCTCGGAGGCAAGGTCAGAATGTTTAGGTTTCATCCAAGTTTCCCTTGTATTTCAACTTCCCCCTTGCCTTTCAGGGAGATGCTAAAGAAATACTACATTGGTGACCTTGATGCCGCAGATATCCCCAAGAAAAGCCCAATTAGGTGAGAGTCCAGTCGTTCTTTAAGTTCACCAGAAGAACTCCCGCATGTTAACACAACCATCCACCATCCCTTTCATCCATATCCGTTAGTCACCATCTGTAAATAAAGAAACAAAGGGGATTTCCTTGCTCTGCCACACATTTATCTCCTTATCTTCCGGGAATACATGTGTTCTTGATAACCCATTTCAACATTGCCATAAAATTATACCACTTTTCTAATGCATGACATTGTTTTTCGACCAAAACCGGTTTCGCATGAGCTTGGGCCGTTCATTTTAGGCTGTAATCAATAGTCCATTAAGCATTGAACAATTAGCCAAACTGTTATGTAATCCATTAATTGGCTTGAAGCCCCCAAAGTGTTACGCTTGATGAGTCCTGAAAGTTTCCTTTCCTTTTTTCTACTTCGCTGAACCGTTTTAAAGCATGTTTTTTCTAAACTGTAACATATAAATACATTTTTTCTTAATTCTTAAAAAAATAAATAAAACAAACCTACAAACTTAACTAAGTTATTATTATCTTTTGCCATACAAAAACATTTTGATTTTTAAGAAAATATCAAATTGTATTTAATATAATTGCAAATATTCAAGTAAGAAAAACAATTTATTATCTTGAATATTCAAAATGTTTATAACTTTCTATACTTTTTGAATCATTTTTCAAAACATATTGCTTGTACAATAATTTGTATTTTTAACAAACCTCCTCCTTCTTCCAAGATTTAAGTCGTTTTCAAGCACGAAAGTAAGATTCTTCAAAAGCTAATTGGATTTGTAAGTCCTGACACTCCTGTAAATATCGTATATATATTCTATATATAATCAAAGCATCTGAAGCACCGAAAACTAAATCTAGTATTGTGGATAACTAGCATTGCACGTTGCAATTTTCCATCGTTTTCGAATAGTTTATATTATTTTTATTTTGACACTTGATTTTTGTGCATCCGCCCACTATAGTGCCACGCCCACTGAAGCGAGCTATGATCCTGCCGCCGCCCCCAAGCAATGCTGCATCTTAAATTAACCCCTCTAAAACCCGTAAACCTGCTAATTAACCGAGGTGTCCTTAGTTTGGTTGATGGAAAATAGTTGGAATGTTTTTATTGTCCTGTTTCTTTTTGATTTTTACCATATACTCTCTATATATTCCCTGAAATAGCTGTCGCCATATCGCATTGGCCCTGGGCGCCGCCTTCATCGGCATCTCGCTGGTCTATGTGATCCGACGCGGAGTGGCCAGGAACTAATCTGCCGCCAAGGGAACCTGAAAATCAGCTTCATTCCGAGATTCCAGAGATTTTTTCCAACACAGAAGAACATTTTCCAAACATTTGATACGAAATAAAATGTACAAATTGCTTATATATATGACTCTGTTTTTTTTTAATGAAGGGGATTATTTGGGATCCCCGTAAATAAAAACACATTCATTGCATTTCTGGTCAGAAAAAATTCAAATTTATTTTTCGTCCTTCCGTCGTCACAAACCTGATTGCTCCTCCCTCCATCCTTGCTCCCCCGGCTCCTGTCCAACCGATCCCGTCTCTCGGATAACGCCATCGGCAGGCGCCCCGTGATCTTCGATTATAAGTAGGTGTAGGGTGTATATATATCTATATATATGCGTGTACCGCGAATCAGTTATCGACTTGCTCTTAAACGTAAATATCGTTGAGGATCAATGCGAAATCGCACTGCAACTTTCTAAGATTAATGCAACTGCTTCTCCGCCAGCTGCGATTGTTTGTTTTTTTTGTTTTGTGTTGTTTCTATTATTCGCCGCCCTAGTTCTCGTCGTAGAGGGGCGTGGCATCGCCCAGATTCATGGAGTGGGGTGAGGTGTTAGTGCGTGGAGTGCTGCGCACGGAGGACTTCGACGACATGGATGCGCCGGGTCCGTGGCCCTGGTTCATGCCCATGCCCATTCCCCGACTGTGCCCCCCTCCTCCTCCTCCGCCGCTGTTGTAGTCATTGCCAGGCGTTGATCCGTAGCCTCCTCCGGGTCCCATGCCCATGCCCATTCCCATGTTCATGCCCATTCCCATCTGCGGTTGTTGTTGCTGCGGATGATGGTGCTGCTGCTGGGCATGATGCGACTGTTGCTGCTGCGGCGGTGGCCTGCGTCGTGCCCAGGCATCGTTGGCCAGCTGCCAGTCGAGGTTTTCTTTGGCACGTTGCTGGTGGTGTGGCGGCATGTTGCCACCACCCATGTTGTAGGCATTGGAACCACCACCACCACCGCCGCCGCCTCCTCCTCCCATGTCGTAATACCTGGGCGTGCTGCCCGTTCCGGAACTGCTGCCGTAGTGATGCCGCTGGCTGCTCGAGGATTGTGAACTAGGACTCGGCACATTGTGGCCGTATCGAGGCGTCTGCGAGGCGTGCGGCGTGTATGGCGTCATGAAGGGTGTCTGTCCACTGGGCGTGTACGGCGTATTGATGATCGCCCCAAAGGACGGCGTCGACGAGCTGCCGTAGTGCGAAGCAGCCGCTGCAGCCCCCGAACCGCCGGACGTGGAGCTGTAGCCAACAATGGAATGCGATACGGAGTAGGCGCTGGAGCTGCCGCCGCCGCCGCCACCGGAACTGCTGATGCCACTTCGTGGCGTTCCTCCAGCCACACTGCCCGTGACGCTATACGGGGCCTGGGAGCCCAGGGACGTAAGAGATGACGAGGAGGCCGTCGGAGGCGGTCGCATCGAGTGCAGGGGCGTTAAATTGGACGCAGAGGACGAGGCGATGGCCGGCGAGGCCATGGGATCCAGCCAGTGCTCCTTGAACCAGCGCAACAGACTGTTGACCGAGTCGAAGATCTGGCCACGGAAACGATAGCCCTCCGGCATCACTGTCACATACTCGTGGCGCGTCTTCGTCTTGGGCAGATAGGAGAGCAGGAACTTGCCCGGCATGCTACGCGATGCCGTGAAGAAGTAGTGTATCTTCTTTGGGTCCTTAGTCTTCTCGTCGCGCAGCACCTGCTCCATGAAATCCCGCTCATTCGTGTTGGCCGGCGCCGTATTGGGCTTGTAGTACTTGTACTGAATCAGTTCGCGGGCGGCTAGGGCCATCGGCGTGATGTGACGGGCGATGATCTCGTCCAGGTCCTCGAACTCCTCGGTGCCAATCCACAGACTTCGGCCCAGACTGTAATCGTTCTCCTTGCCCTCCTCTCGCACATCGATGTGCTGGAAGATGTCGTCGGCCACCTTCCAGGTGGCTGTCAGGTGATCCTTGGACTTGCTGCTCGGCCGCAGGGCCACCTCGCCCTGGTCAGCCTCGGCCAGCATGGCCACCACCTCCGCATACGACTTGTTGAAGAAGCTGGGATGGGCGATCACACGGCGGGCGTAGGTCTTGCGCTTGAGGGCCTTCTCCTTGGCGTCGCTGGCCTTCCGGTTGTCCTGCTCCTCGGTCACAAAGTCATAGAAGTTGTCGCGCCGCGGCCGCCACTCGTTGTTAACGTCCTTCAGATCCGCCGTCTTCGAGGAACAGTCCACCGAGAACCGATCAATGTCGATCTTGATGATGCGCACATGGATCATCTGGGAGACGCGAACACGCTCCTCCGGGTTGCGCACCTGCTTGTCAGACAGATTCTTGATGTGTATAAAGCCCGGCAGACCGTTCTCCAGTCGGACCCGCACCCCAGAAGCTTGGCCAGGACACGCATTGGCGTCAAAGTGATTCCACACCTCGGACAGCTCGGGGAAGTCGTCCTTCTGGCAGAAGGGACACTGCCAGCTGTCGCTGGACTCAATGCGCACGGGATTAGCATTGTCCAGCTGCTCGCCCTGCGGCCGTCGGTAGGTGAATCCGGTGACCATGGCCGTGACGCACTTGCCCACGTAAAACGAGTCGGGCGTCTCCTTGGTCAGCATGTCGAAGAGCTCCTCGGAACTGGGCTTGGCATACGCCGAGCGGTAGTCCTTGTACAAGCAGCTCAACTCATTCCGGATGTCGTACAGGGTTATGCTCTTGCTGCCGAAGCCCTGGCGCTCCAGCTCCACGGCGAATGCGTCCAGATCGAGATCCTTCAGGCGCTCTGGCGACTCCAGGATCTCCTCGAGAGCGCCGGCCGGATTGGTCTCCTCGTCGTCGTACTCCATGGCATCGATGGCCATCTTCCTGGCCCACTCGTACGTCTCCGGATGCACACGCGATCCGTCCAGCACCTCCACATACGCCTCCGTGCTGTCGCCCAACGATGAGGTATCTATTTTGATGAAGCCGCTGCAGTTGATGAAAACCTTGGGTCCCAAATGGCAGACTGTGACCAGCTGGGTGCGGTTCTCCAGCCTCTGGTTGCTCTGCTTGAGCAGCTTAAGTAGAGCCTGGCCCTTGCGCGGACCCAAACCGCAGGTGTACTGCAGCAGATTGACTGTCCGTGAGTTCTGCACCATCAGGTTGATGTCCAGGCCCACCTCGCTGGTCCGATTGATGAACTGCAGGCTGAGCTGCTCCAGCAGCTGCTCGCGCGGCACTCGCTCCTGCAGCGGATGGTAGCGCAGGCAGAGAATCTCGTCGTCTGCATCGCACAGCTGCGAGTACTCCACCAAGGGGTCCTGCATCTTGCGGGCCAGGGAAACGGCCTGCTTCAGCAGGGCGGGGTACTCCTTGAAGTCCGACTCGCCCTTCTTCGAATTGGCATAGATCTTGGCCAGCTCGTTGTCAATTATCTCCACCTCGATGGGCGGAAACTGCTCGGATGTCTCCAGCTCCTTGAGTATCTCTTTTATGTCCGTCTGGATGTTTTGGGCGTCGCGCGATTCCGCCCCAATGACCACAATATGTGGCTTCTTCATTTTAATGAAGTCGCTCAGCTTGCGCAGGTCGGCCAACTTTTGCGCCTTCTCCTCGGCGTTGTGCGAATTCTTGCGCCTGAGGATGTTCGGCAGTCGCAGGTAATCGGAGATGTCGCCCTCCACGGTGGTCACAGCACAGAAAGCGGCCACCGACTGGTCGGGATCGTAGGCCAGAGCCAGCACCCGAATGCCTCTTAGCGTGCTCCACTCCTCGTAGCCGTAGTCGGTGGGCAGCTCCGGTTTGTAGGGCGCCACCTTCAGCCACTTGTACAGCTTGCCGGTGCATGAACGCAGCACAAACTGTTGCGCCTCCTCGTGCAGTGTGGAGCGCAGCTCCTTGATCAGATCCGGAATGACCCACTTCTGCAGCGCCAGTTTCACGCACTCCGCCCGCAGCGCATTCCACTCCAGGACATGCTTGGAGAACTGATCCAGATGGTACAGGGCCTTGGACTCCTCCACATAGTCGCCGGGTGGTCCGTTGGCATTAGCATTGCCCTCGAACTCCTCGAGGAACGTTATCTCCAGCAGCTTCTCCTCCTCGGCCATCATCAGCTTAATGAATTGATCGCCAAAGAGGTCGCCCACCGGCTTCTTGGCCACGTATTTCATCGAGTACACCGGCGAGTTCTCGTCGATTAGCACCATGCCATTCTTGGTGGGCCGTATGTTGATTCTGGCTCTATCGAAGTAAACCTCACGCATGGTCTTGCGGAGCAGGGGCTCCTGTGCCAGCTGGCGGGCCACAACGTATTTGGCCGCGTGGAGCACCTCATCCGTGGTCATAAAGCGAGGCGACAGATACTGCTTGGCCAGTTCCGTGGGCCCCAGGCTTTCCTGGGTGACCTCGTTACGCTGGTAATTGTCGCGCAGGTTCTCGGCAAACTGCTCGGGAGTAAGACCAAAGTGCTTGGCAAAGCCACAGATGCCCGCCTTGCGGAACACCGCATAGGGACTGCTGTTGGGCGCCTGCTTTAGCTGGTCATCGATCAGCTCCGGATCGTCGTCGTCCTCCGGCTCTGGGATTACTATCGCCGCACCCTCCGACGCATCCTCCCCGTTTTCGGCGGCGGCCGCGTGCCGACGCGCCTTGGCCTCACGACGCTCCTGGATCACCTTGCGCCGCTGCTCCGCCTGCATGCGCGGCAGCTCGTGCGAGTAGTTGAGCAGGAAGTACATGTGCACGTCCTTCAGCTCCTCCATGGACTGCACGTCGTCCAGGCGCTCGAAATCGCTGTCAAGCATCAAACGCACGTCGTCCGGTATGGGTTTATCTGGGTCGGCGCACAGCGTGTCCAGCTGGAACTGGCGCATCTTCTCGAAGAGCACCTTTAGCTTACGCTTCCGCTCGTTCAGCTGGCACCAGCGCTCATCGAAGTAGTACACCTTCCACAGATCGTCGATGTTTAGCTCTGGCTTCACGTACTCCTTGCGATAGAAGGCTATGAAGGGCACCTCAAGCTGCTGGTTACGGATGAACTCCAGCGTCTGTTTGATCTTGTTTACGGCCGTCGGAGGTTTGCGCAACTTTTCGCGGTTCTCGGCCTTCTCCTGCTCGGAAACGGTTTGCTTGCAGAAGGCATATTTGTAGATCCAATCGGCCTCGAGGTCCAGCTCGTGGGATCCCTCGGGCACCGGCGTAACGGGGACCTGGCGCAGCTGCATGCGCTCCGGGATGTCCGTCTTGCGGATCTCGTTGTCCATGTCGGTGAAGTGGCCACGCTTCAGCTCGCTCGGCTCGTAAATGTCGAAGATCGTCTTCTTGGCCACCTTCTTCTTGAGGGCCTTCTTCTTCTTGACGCGCATATCATCGCCGGCGCCAAGCTCCTCGTCATATTCATCGCCCTCAGAATCATCCTCGTACTCGTCCTCCTCGTACTTGGAGAAGTCGTCGTAGTCGAAGTCTACGCCAAAGATATCCTGGCCCTCTTGCAGCGATCTGTAGTTGGATTAAGTAATTGTATCAAGGTTTTACCGATTTTTAACGAGATTTTTTAGTTAAAGTGGGAATACGTTTTAAAACTATGTACTTTAAAAATAATTTAGGAAGGAAATTAAAACCAGTATTTAAATACGTTTTAAAAGTAGTGTTGAAGTTCTGTGCCTGTTTTTCAAAACCCTGTTTTTAGCCACCAAATCCCGAAAGAGTTAGACAAACTTACGCGTCTGTGAAGATGGGACGACGCTTCTTTTTCTTCTCGGCTATAGGACGCCCGTTGTCATCCACTATGAAATCATCCGCATCCGACTCAGAGTCTTCCTCGTCAAAGGCGTCCGCTTCCCTAGGACTGCGCTCGCTGCGATGCTCAACGCTCTGGAGGATTCCGGCAATCGGTTAGAAAATGTACAGTAAATGGTGGTTAGGTGTGAATACCTCATCGTTCTCGTCGAACAGCTGCTCGGCGATCTGCTCCCGGGCCAGACCCTCGTCCACGTGCTGCTCCTCGCCATCGCTCTCGTTATCGTGGATGCGACGCAAGCGCTTGAACCGCTTCTGCAAGAAAAATCGTAATGAGAAATTGGATTATACGTTTGCGAAGTAGAAAAACAATATACTATGGTGAAATCATAATGATTTGATAACATACCCTAAGATATATAGAACACACATTTAACTGGTGTTGTCTGACTTAAAACCAAAATGTTTAAACACATTTTTCATTGCCTAAACTCTGCTAATTATCCTGACAAAATCAAGTGAAGCTGAGGAACACCTACCCGTCTCTCGACTTTGACGCCCAAGTTCTCCTCGATCAGATCGTAATCGTCGTCCTCAAGCCGATCGTCCAGATCGTCGTCCTCGTGCTTTTTGCGCTTCTTGCCGCTGCCTCCGCCTTCGGTATCGCCCCCGCTCCCGGTGTCCGAGTCATCACCACTGCCGTCATCCTCCTCGATGGGATTGTCGTCGATCAGATCCTTAAGCTCCTCGCGCAGGCGCTCCTCGTCATCTGCGAATAGTTAAAATGGTGAATAAGATTGGTAATCAAATTAAATGGATTACTCTTTTTAAAGTGGGACATCTGATCTAAACGGATTTCAGTTTTAAGGCTACTTCTCCCAAAGTGATTAAGATTTTAAATGACAAACTCTTCGAAGAGGTGTGAAAAATGGTATAAGACTAATTAATATTTTACTTGATAAATTCCCAGCTGACCTCCACTACTGCACGCATTGATTATTCCAGGTCAGGCCCATTCAGTATCTCGATCCCCCACTTTCGAATGCATTTCTCTGGAAAAAGCCGCGTTCTTCAAATTCGCCGCACTTGTTCCCCCCCACACACACACACACACATAGTGGAACTGTTCCATGGCCACGGTAGCACGGTAAAAACACAAGACCTAACCTCAAAGTTGTAAACAAAAGGAATGCAATTGGCAAGGGTTAAAGTTTTACCAGATTTCCCAGTTATGGAAGATAGCTCTGATATGTTACTTTTGAGGGGGTCAGGGAGCGGGGAAAATCCCGCCCAGCGATCACTACTATATATTGTTATTGTCTGCGCGCGGCGGCTGGAAAAACTTACCTTCTTCTTCTTCGCTGCTGTCGGAGACGGCGGCTTTCAGCTTCTTCAGCTTTTTGCGCTCGTTCACGTCCAATTCTTCCTCCTCCTGCAGGATGGGAAAAGCGAAGAAAAGTCAAGGAAAATGCAATATAAATATATATATACACACACGCAACGCACACCGCACATATACATATACACAGTACGCGCGCCTACAAACAGAAAACGCAACGCGAAAAGGTCCGCAAATATGCGGAGCTTCTCGCAGTCTCAGACACCTACCTCCGATTCCTCGGCCTCGGAGTCTAGAAATTCGGCCATCACAATAAATTAAACAATTAAACTATAGGCTTAAAAACGAATTTAACTAAAAGTAATGCACAAAAAACGTCGCTTGTAGAGTCACAATAAAAAAAAACCCAAAGTCGAAGAAGCAGAAGTGTCAAAGTGCCAGTGTTGGCTGGCGTGAACAGAAGCGGCGTCGATGTTATCGATTGCACTATCGATAGTGGCTAAGTGATAGTTTGGGCCCGAGTCTTTGCTAACTGCGGAGTGCGTCCTCACTAAAAGTTAGCAAGTACAGCCACCAATGGAATTGCTTCATAGAGGTGGAAAAACGTCGATGACAGGGGGTCACAGGGCTTCCACCTCTAAGGTACTCCTTAACATTTCTGCTCGGAAAACGTTGCGTTTTAACATTTAGTGATGGGAAAACATCGATGCTTTACGATTGTATTATTCAAAATTTCCTTAATTTATACCTAATATATTTCAGCATTTCAATTAACAAACATTTTTACATGCTATGATCAAAATGCATTTTAGTTGGAGTTAACAGTGGTCAAGAACTGGAGCGAAAACTAACAGAACTAGAGAGCATTCGTTAACAGTGCGCAAGAACCGAAGTGTGATTTTGTGGTGTGACCATTTTTCAAAGTTTGAATGACTTATGGACTTGTTAGAGATGGGGAAATGCAGTATTTTAAAAACATCGATAGTGCCCTGCCAAACATCGATGTTAACGGTTTCTGGAATACATCGATGACATCGAGCAACGAGGTTTTGCCACCTCCATCCGCGAGCCTATAGCTAGTGCAAGTCCGTTAGTATTTTTTTTTTCGTTCATCCAGAAAGTTTAAGTGGACGAGCGGCCCGTTTATATGGTCTGTCAAACAGCTCTCGACCCGTAACTCCCGAAATTCTGAAGTGTATTTCTTTGGCCGACAGTTTCCGATAATCATAATCATTCCTTCCTTCCAAAGCGGCGAAAAATACGAAAAAATAATCAAATAATCTAAAGACAACAACAATTCGGCGGTTCGTTTTTTGCCAGTGTGTGTGAGTGTATGTGAGCGCGCAGTGCGAGTGTGTGTGGACCGGTGCTCCTGTTCTTGTTGTTGCTGTTTCCAAGACTCAAAAACACACACTAACGCAGGGTCGCATGCAAGAGACTCGCACACAATTGCGAATATTAAGTAAAAACATATATACATATATATGTGACAACAAACGCCAGGGAAAAACTGGAAAGCGGAGAAAAACAATTGAGAAATTAAATCAGCAGCAGGAGCAGCAACATGGATCTAATCAATAAATTTAGCAGTGCGTTCTGGAGTGAGCACATTTGGCTGCCGCCGAACACAACTTGGGCGGATATTGCGCCCGGTTCGCGACAGGATGTGGTGCACGCTAACTATAAGGACCTCATCTGGCCCATTCCATTCGCCGCTGTCGTCATGCTGGTCCGTTACACGCTGGAGCGGTAAGTTTCCCGATTCTTATTCGCGTTCCCGGCAACTCTATTCAATGCGCCTCTCTTTAACCCCATTTCCCCTCTCTCTTCCACTCTCTTTTCCCCATTGAGAACCCTCGCCCACGTTTGTTGCACCATGTACAGTAAACTTTATTCATAATTCCTTTTTCCATTTTTTTTTTTCAACAAACATAACCTCACGTGGAAACGCCCAACATTCTGCAAGCGTATGTATGTGTGTGTGAGGCGGCGCACACGCGTGCACAGTTGTTGTTGCTGCAACTCTAAGTTTTCCCTTCCAAGCGACGCCGGCTGCAGTTTCCAGTCAGCCGGCTACGAATTTCCCACAAAATATTCAGCCCGCTTCCACTCCACTTCCAGTTTACTTCTTACTAATTGTTTAGTTAAAGGGAAAACATATATATTTGTTTATAGTCTCCATGATGTGTGTTTGTGTACATATTTGTATGGATGTATGCACCAGTGAGGAAATGGGAACAAACCTAGGTACAGTGGGGCAAATATTTAAACAATTTGCCAATTTCGCTAAAGATCTTTTTTCGGATATATAACTTATACTGTACATTAGCAGTCAAAAAAATAGCTCTAACAATCCTAGGGAGAAAATTAAATGTGTCGAATTGGGAATACAAACATATGTATGTCAATTGGATAAAAGCATCAATTTTTGTACAATTGGAACACCATTTTACAAATAAGCAATTTATAAAAAACCCCTATAAATCTCTTTAGATTGAGTCCAGGAATAATATCTTCCTTGGAAAAACTCTTGTTCCCTTTATGCACTTGCTGAATAAGTGTTAGAAAGATTTTATTGTATTATTATATTGCTTTAAATATTATAAATACATACATACTTACTTAAAAGATCTTTGCAGATTAAATCAATTATTGTGAGACATTTAACCTATTTAAAAATGAAGCATTTTTGTGTGATAAGATAATCACGTTTCCAAAGTAAAAATAAATAACCGGTAATTCAATTTTTTAGAGGATTAAGTAAGATTACTTATAAATATAGAATCATAATTGAATTGATAAGGAATTATAACTGGTTAAATTTAATATGCCTTTTTTAAAAAACATGATTGTATTTTAATGAGTTATGCCTCAGAAAATTAAAATTGAAGTGCGGAAAAGTAAATGGAAAATTTAAATTTCCATGACTTTTAAACCACTGCGGGCCAAGAGCATTTTGGGCGCTTTTCAGGCCAATTAACCTGCGCGGCGTTTGGCTTCAAATAAGTGCCTGTAAATATGTGGATGTTTGCTGTTCGTGTGTGGGGATTGCGTGCAGTTGCATTTGCATGTAAAAAAGTCGTAATTCTCATATTTTTGCAATGTTTTTGGTGCCCTTAATTTCACATAAATTGCGGAAAAGAGTGTCAACTCTAAACATCTGCCATGCAGGCACAAAAATAAAAAATAAAGAGCATTTTTTAAACGAGCAACGCTTAAACACGTCCAACTTCAATCGTAAAGCGCACTATTATTTTTTTGACCGCAGTTGTAAGTTCATTTTTAGCTCTTTCTGTGGCTTTTCGTTTTGCATTTGAAAATGAGACAAAACCAAATCGGTTTCATGGCAGACCACTTTAGTTTTTGTATTTTATTATCTTTGGCTTCTTAAACGAGAATTGATCTTCAAGGTCGAATTTGAATTTTGGACGCGTCTCTCTATTAACATTCATTTAATGGCAAAAGTCGTACCCGATTCGTCTCGATTCGATTGGGGGATCGGAGCTCTCCTGTCTTGCAGACCCCTCCCAAAAGCCCCATCCCATGCCCGTAGTGGCCATAATGAACCTTGGGCATTGCTAGTACCTCCGATACCACTGCCACTCCACGGCGCTGCCCCGATAAGATTTGTGCCAAGATTTACGTATAAAACCTGATAACAGTGCTCAGTGGCTCGATTGTTTTACGCCGAACTCTCGAACGACTGTGTTTCCATTGAGGGTGTGTGGGTACACCAGGGGCGTGGACAGGGCTTAAACTAGGGGGGGTTTTCAGAAGGTGTGTCATTCACTTTATTTGGGTTAAAAGGGTGTATTGGGTTTTTGTAAAATCTATGAATTCCTTTAATACTGCAACTTCATACTTCGATTTTTGGGTGATTGCCTTTCCAACTCTTTATGTAATATTTCGTATTACCGATTTATCCAATTAACTGAATACGTTAAGTACTTTTAAACAGACCAAAAAGGAGATTTCTAAAAACTTAAGATTAACCATAACTCACCTATGTATTTGTTTAAAATAAAGATAAGTAACTATCTTTCATTTATTCCGCGTTCAGCGTGCGTTTTATCTGTGGGGTTTAGTTCATGATTCGTCAACCGTTTTTCTTTTGCAAGCCTGGCCAAAATCACTTGCCAGCCAGTGAGTCATGGACTTGAGAAGTTTTTCCAAATATGTGCGCGTTTTATGGCCCGATTGGTGCTTCCCTTATGGCCAACTATTCTATGCCAGATACAAACACGCTTTGGAATGTTGTGTGCATTGAATTGGGGTTTATGTTTATGTTTATGCTAGGGGAAAGAAAGAACAAAACAGAGAGAGAGTTACTAAAACAATTTAAACAGTTGGGGATATATTAATAGTAGTTGAACTCTTTGTACTCTTTTGACATTTTTCATTTATTTTGGTCTAAAATAAACTGATTGAACAAGATCTTTTTATCTTTTTTGTTCAAATTCAGATAAGATAATTGTATGCGATTTATTTTATCAAGCCCAAACAGATTTTAAAGCGGAAATGTATTTACAAATTCTAATTCTAGCTAATTAAAAATTGAAAAAAATTTTTTAATATATTAAATGACATTTTTTGTGGTTCTCTTCATATAGGAATAATATTATATTACTATTTGACACACTATCTTAAAAGTAATATTTCTTTGAGTTAGATGTTTAAGTATTATTAATTCGTAAATCACAATTTAATTGCTTTAAACTTTCCTGTGTTTTTCCACAGCTTTCCTGATTAAAGATATATATGGGTTTTAGCTAGCTGATTACGAATTAGTTCAAGTGGGATTTATGAGTGCTATTTTGTTGGGCGCAGCTGTGTGGGGCATGTACTATTTGTCCGCATTTATGCTGAAGCTTTTGTGATACGTAATCGCCAAGAGGCGACCCTCGAGCTGAGCGCTCTAGTGCGATAAAATTTCAGGTTAATTATTTTAATGGCTCACATGCACACAGCAATCGCACAGAGGTATATGCATATACATATATACAAATGTACATAATCGCCGGCAAATGGGCAATTGCGAGTTATTCCTCCATTTCTCTATCTTTTTTCACATCCCCCATAGTTTTTACCTCTTCATCACCGCGAGAAACTCTAAATCGGCAATAGAATTTCTAGGAACAACAATCCCAAAAATCCAAAAACCGATCCGTAAACCCGTTTCCAAAAGTTTTCCCCACTTCTTTCAAACGCGGTCGGTCATTCCAATTGCTTATCGTGCCGATTGCCCAATGGTAGTGAAAAAAGTTAAAAAGCCATAAAAACTGGGAAAGAATGAAGAAACGCACGTGCTTCACGCACCAGGTGAGAATAAGAATGAGAACGAGAATGAGAATGCGGAGCACTACCTGGTCAGGTGGGTAATCCGATTCAGGGGCAGCGGACTCTGCGTTGCCAGTGCAATTCGTTAAATGTTCAATTAGCACCTCTCATTCCTGCCTTTAAAAATGTTTTATTTAAACAACATTTTAACGGTTTTCACATTTATCCCTTTCTCGAAAAAAGATAATACTTCTAAAAATATATTTTACATGTTGAAAATTATTATTAATTATAATAAATTATTCCTTCATCAAACAAAAATTCCTTAAAAACCAACTTTAAAGATTTATTTTATTTATTATATTTGCATTTATAAGAATGTATCTTATCGCATCAACCAAAAATCTTAAACGTTTGTTAGACATTCAAATTATCTATTCGCAATTGCAATCTTTTTTATTTCTATTAAATTCTTATTATTAAACAGTTTAATTATGATTAAAGGTCAGAGAACTTACAAAAAATCATCAGACTTGATTTGTGAATTAGAATTTCTGGGAATTTCATTCAGAACTATTTGTCATGAATATCCGTCGACTCATTAAGAGATTACAAATTGTGTAAGTGATTTTATTTTTGTTTCTTCCCCCACTTGGAAACTTAACAATTTTAGGGAATTTACACATTTTCTAGACCAAACGATAAGTGCGATTTCTGCCTAAAAATCACTCTTAAAATTTTACAAGACACAGATTGCCGGAGTTGGTCATAAAACAAATTGAAATAGAGTATGTTATAAAGATAAGAATCACAGGGCGATCAATTAGTCGCTGACTAATGGCCCCTATGCTAAATTCCATCTGAAAATCGGCCATGAGTCACACCACGACGGACCCAAAGTCGGGCCACATATGATGTCGGTGTATATAGCTCTATAGCCTGGTGGGGCCACTTACTTGAGCTAATCTCCAATTGCCGGTTTTTGGCTTGCATGTTTTATTATCGCCGTCAAGCGCGAATAATTCGCCAAATATCAGGCGACATGTACTATATATGCATACGTACGATTTCATATAGCTTGACCGCTTGTACGGTCCAAAATTGTAGTTGTTTCGCTGATAAGACCCGGATAATTGCCAGTGCATTGCTCTTTGGGCGCGATATTTGCACATTGCCTAAGTGAAATTTAATAAATACGCTCAAATAATGGTGGGGTTCTTATCGCAACTGTCATCGAGTTGCAGCTCAATCAAAACACATTCATTATTCGCACGAAACAGAACCAATTTGATAATCGACATCTAGCGTTTTACGGAAAATGCACCTATCAAGTTGCTTATAAACGATTGGTTCCTAATTTCCAATGAATTGACTAGAATTTGTATTATTATGAAATTTTTTTTAAAGGTAAGAACCCACCTAGCATTTCTTGCTTTCGAATACAGTCGAATTTCTGTAACTCAAATACCTATCTGCCACATAAAATAATAAAAATTACATATTATTGTATTGTTGAAGTTGTCTTGAAAAGGAAAGTATTTGTCTTTAAAAGTCATTTGTATATAAAGTTTTTTTTTTTAATTTAATTACTATTACTTTGGCTAGATAAAAATGTGTAAATTATGGTAAGAAATGTATCTCTTGAAAGTATATGCGAAGGGACTTATAAAAACAAACACCAATTAAGTGGTCTTAGATTGACATTTTTTAATATGACTTTTAAGGTTTACATAAGAACTTATATTTATTCATTAGTTATTGCTTAATAAAACAAATTCAAAGATGATTGAAATTAAATCAATTCTAAGAGTAAAAAGAGGAAATTGAAATATTTTACATGAACTTTAGGGCACTTTTTGGTTAATTGTCTTAAATTAATTAAATAACTGCTAATTGTTAGTTCCACCATGATATCTTTATTGACATAACCATAACTTTAATCCCTGAAGTGGGGGAGCAGCCAACGTTGCTGGTTCTTCTGGGCTGTTGGGTCCTCCTCTTCGTTCAGGATGAGGAACAGCTCCGGTTCTTGGTCCATTCGCAGCTGGCTGCCCAGGAAGTCGAGGAACTCCTCCTCGGAGCCCAGAGACCTAGGCTCCCGCAACTTGGAGTCCAGATTGTAGTACCTCCCATCGATGCGCCGGAGTGCCAGCCAGTGGCGCATCTGGAAGGGCAGTGGGACGTAGTAGCCGAGGCTCATCTGCACCGGAACGTTGAGGATGAAGCCAAAGATGGCACTCAGATTAAGGCAATGTGGATCCCGCCGGCGGTCGAACCACACCGTCTCGCAATTCCTCTGCTGCAAGGCGTACATAATCACATTCACATCGTAGTTGCCCCACCCGATCCACGAGCGATGTGGGTTCAGCCAGTTGCGCGGGGTCAAAGTGGTGCAGTAGTCGTCCAGCTCCGACTTGGAGAACATTCCCGGACTCTGGAACAGGTTGTTCAGGGCGTGTAGGCCGCACAAATGCCTCGTCTGCCGCTCGTGGTAGATGCCGTTCAGCATCGTGGTGTTCCCGCAATCCCCCAGAGAACTCTCGACTGTCGGAGCACCGGGAGAGTCTTCCATTTGGGGCGGTGTATGGTGACAGATTTGAGTAGACGTCTAGCTCCAAAAAGGGGATCTGTTTTTTATTGTTTATACTTTATGAGTTCCGAGGACCAGGTATAGGGATGGAACAATGATAGGGGTGGCCAAAAACATCGATAGCCTTGCGAAATTTTACTTGTGCATATCGATGTTTTAGCAACGATACTTACGTTTATTCAAATATGTAACGTTTATGTTATTTATTACTATTTTTCTATAACTATTATTCAGTGAACTTAAATATTTCTAGCATAATGAATTTCTGTTAGAATTTATAAAAATTAATAATGATAAGCCAAATTTATTCCTAACCATCTATGCTTTTATTAACTAACAAATTTTGATTACCGAACAATTAGGAAATAACAACCTAGTAGCTTTAAGTCAGCGTTTATTCAAAGCTAATTTGAGTTGGCCCATATTTAAACAGTGCCCTATGAATATTCCATAAGAAATGTCATTTTTATGTATAGTCTTTATCGCTGATAATAAAACCAACACTGTGCGTCACTTTCAATGACGCACTCTGTGCTTATTTTCATTTAAATAGTTCAATTTATTTTTACACGCCCAACACGCACTTCTTTATTGACAAGCCTCCCCAATTATTGGGTTTATTTCCTATAACCCTGGGCATTGGAAACCCATAGCTTGTCAACGAATTAGAGGGTGCTATCATATAAATCAATATCCGACTGCGAATGCGGGTCAATCAAATCCTTCTCTGTGCGTTAATTGAATTACGTACTTCTTGAACTTGAACTGAACTTAGATTCGGCATTAATTCAAATTAATTGTTACAATTTATATATGGCCATAGAAAATCTACGACCGAGGTTTCCGCATATCTTCTTTGGCTGTGCGCCATGTGTTTTGCCTACGAATGAGGGTTACTTTTAAACTACTTGGAATTCCAATCGTACTGCCATGGGATGTGCAAGCCTTGGGGGCGTGGCAGGTGGCCATTTTCGATTTCATCGGCAAATTAACTTCCGAAAAGAGACATCAGTCTGGACTCAAGTTTTGGGCGGGCTAATTACCTATGCATATGGGCGTGCGGGCAACCCATCCGAAAACCCATCCCAAAACCCTATCCCAAATCCAGTTGTCATGCCCCACACGTGCCAGACGTTGGGGCGACGACGACAGGTGTGTGTGCAAAATAAATATAAATAAAATAAAATCATAAACAAAAAATCCAGAAACGTTTCCGCCATGGGTGTACCAAGCGTACATGCATAATTAGAGATGTTGTCAAGCCCAATGGAACTTTTATTGGCAGGTTTCAGGGTTAGGAATTCGATTGCCAAGATTACAACAGTTCCTATACATTTAACTATATTCCATAAGGCTAGAAAAAATAAATAAAATGGGTGCTACATTTTTCTATTTTACCTTTATGTTTCCTTCTTATATATATCGATGTAAAGTTTATGCTAAACGAAATAAGGGAACATTCATCCGCGAGTTTAACATGCACCCAATTTTATCTAGCCAAAGTTTATCTGCCTACAATAAACTTTTAAAACCTGTGCCTCCAACAGACTGCTTTATCTACTCATAAACTTATAAAAATAGCTCTTTCTAATCAAAATCTACTATACTATTTGCAGTTTTTGGATATCGCCAATAGGCAAATCACTGGGCATACGTAGTTCTAGACCTAAGAAGGCGGCAAATGTTCCTATTTTGGAGACGGCTTATGCCAAATCGACGCGATTGGACAACAAATGGGTGAGTTTGAACCGAATATCCCTTTGTGTATAGATGACTGATGGTTGTTTTTATAATTTTGCAACAGCTGGCTCCGCTGTCCAAGCAGACGGATATGAGCGAGCGCCAAATTGAGCGCTGGTGGCGTTTACGAAGGGCCCAGGACAAGCCCTCGACGCTGGTGAAGTTCTGCGAGAATACCTGGCGCTGTATCTACTACCTGTACAGCTTCATCTTTGGCGTGATTGTGCTGTGGGACAAGCCCTGGTTCTGGGATGTGAAGAGCTGCTGGTATGGCTACCCGCATCAGGTTCGCATATTTAAGGATTCTCCTTGAGAACTATATTCTAAATCGATTATATCAATCCCTTGCAGTCGATCAGCAATGATATCTGGTGGTACTACATGATTTCGATGTCCTTCTACTGGTCCCTCACTGGCACCCAGTTCTTTGATGTGAAACGCAAGGACTTCTGGCAGATGTTCATTCACCACATGGTTACATTGCTGCTGATGTCTCTCAGCTGGGTGTGCAACCTGCACCGCGTCGGTTCCCTAGTCCTGGTTGTCCACGATTGTGGCGACATCTTCTTGGAGGCTGCCAAACTCACCAAATATGCCAACTTTCAAAAGCTCTGCGACGCCATCTTTGCCATCTTTACTGTGGTCTGGATTGTGACGCGCCTGGGCTTCTATCCACGCATCATCTACAGGTGAGTAATGGTGGGCTGACCCACCAGCATCCATAACCTCTTGGTTGACTTGATCCCAATCCAATGCCTCAATCCTGTTAACCCGGCAGCTCATCTGTGGAAGCACCGCGCATTCTACCCATGTTCCCAGCCTACTACATCTTCAACTCATTGCTTCTGATGCTGCTTGTGCTCCACGTTATCTGGACATACATGATTCTCAAGATCGTTGTCGACTCTTTGCAGAAGGGTCTGGTAAGTGTGGAGGCATCTACCTATCATGCCCAATTCCTTTTAACCGTGTATTAAAAATCTTTTAAAATAATAAAGTTCCTTTAACGATTAACTTAAACAGATAAGAAATATATGTTTGAAACGATTGGATTTCTTTGTACCTTTTTATGTATATTCATAAAAAGAAAATTTTGTGTTTGTGCAACGTCTTATCGATATAGTAAATTAATGAGTAAAATTTCATTTTGTACATAAACTTTTGGACCTTCTATAATACAAATTCAGCAATATATTGCCACTTCAGTCGTTGCTCACAAAAGAACTAATTTTTATGTTTAAATATTTCTTAACTTATATGAAAAAGTATATATTTATTTAAATATATTTAACCATAATAACGTTTTTTATTGATCCATTTCCAGATGTCCGGTGACATACGTTCCAGTGATAGTGAGGATCTCTCAGACAGTTCGGAGAATGCACCTCTGGCCAACGGAACGGCGCGCTCCAAGAACAAGTCGAACAGCGGTGCGCCTTCAGCCGGAGGATCTGGAGGAGCAGCAGGTGGGGCCACCCAGCGCAAGACCAACAATCACGCGACTGAGGCGGCTGGAGGAGCTGCGACAACGGCGGCTAAGTAGGCTGGAATGTGGTTGACTGGGTCATGGGATCGAAAGACGGAGTGGCCGGTGGCCACCAGTAGCAGAAGCCACTATCCCCAGCGGTGGGCACATTTCCCGAGGGGCAGGAGCAACAACAACAGCAAACAAACAAAATCAACACACACACCCCATATACAACACACACACATACAAAAAAAACCAAACCAGTTCAGAACGTTTTTATGTTAATTATTATTTTTTATATTTAATTCTTTTTTTTTAAGATAAACAAAAAAAAACAACAAATCGGAAACCAAAAGAAATTTCAATAAATGCGAGAAAATTGATGCGTAACGATCCACTTCTATGCACATCGTTATTTATTAAAATGAGTATATATTTATATATAAAAAAACAATATATATATATATATATGCCTCACCGTTTTTTGTTGTTGTTTTTCTTGCTTAACCAAAAAAAAAAGAAACAAGAAAATAACGTTAAAAATAACCAATTAAACGTAAAGCTAAAGTTAAGTTATTTTACCAAACGAAATGGAAGATAGCACAGTGGGACTAAACCAAATTCGCTTAGACAAGAATTCAATAAAAGAGAAATAAAGAAAAAAACAGAATAGTAGTCAAAACTATTGTAAATATTGTACTTGTATGTTTCCCATATTAATAAATTTATGCAAAACTTATTACAAGAACCAAGCACTGTTTTAAAAATCGAAATAAAGCGGGATGGCACTATTGGGTCTGGTAAATAAAGCTATCTCCTTCTAGCTGAGAAGCTTTACCCAATCTTCGTTTAAATAACCCAAACAAAGGAATTCGTGAATTCTCAAGTCTTTTATTTTATAAATCCTTTTTGAATTTATTCAGACTTGCCCTAATTTGTATAAACTACAAGCTAGTTTTTATACATTTTTTATTAAATGAATATAAAGGATGGATTAAAACCGGAGTAAAAAGAAAGATAACCATGAATGGAGCTGCTCTTTACACATCTTTTTAAAATGTATTTGGTCTAGTCTGAAATGGTACAAACGAAAAACTAGGCTCCGACTGATGGTTTAAAAGGCTTGATTTGATTTAAACATTTGGCCATAATGTATGTACATATATTTCTTGAGTGTATTAAATGCATAAAAGGCCAAAAATCTAATTCTAAATAGTATTTAGCATTCAACATTCGAGGAATGGAAAAATGTTATGTTGTATTGTTAAAAGATAGGATTAAAAGTAGCAGCTCTGACTTGATTTAAACATATTGTATTAAAAATCGAAACAAAAAATCGATTTTAAACTGTGAGAATATTAAATGCATAAAAAGGACAAGAGTTTATCCCAACTAGTCTTAACTTATACCAGAGCATCCCTTATTAATAAATCCTATTAAAATTTATTTCGTCTCGTCCAATTGGTATACACTACACGCTAGACCTAGCTTAGTACTGGTAGCCGTCGGGTTGGTAGGGCCGTGAGAAGGGCGCAGGGGCGAAGGGTACGGGCGGTGGACGCCAGTTGGTTGGTGGTGGTCTGGGCGGTGGCGCCGGCATGCCGGGCGGTGCCCAAGCATTGGGTTGCATCATGCGTGGCGGCGGCGGGATGCCCATTGCCGGCGGAAGAGGCGGCTGTCCCCCGGCCATCGGCGGCAGTGGCGGCGGCGGGATCGTGGCTGGGAACGGCGTGGGCTGGGGCACGGGAGGCGGTGGCGCAATCATGCTCATGTTGTTATTCGAAACGGGCACCACTGGCGGCGGTGGAGCCATCATCGGTGGCGGCATCATTTGGCCAGGCATCTGCGGCATCATATTCTGAACTGGCGCATCGGCGAAGAGTTGATGAGGTCTGTCAGCATGAGCCGAAGGATTTTGGGCGGCCAGCAGTCGCTCCGCCGCCGAACCGTGTCGCTCGCCCTTGTGGTCCTTCTTGAAGGCGTAGGATACGGAAATAGGACGATTACATAGGTACTGGCCATTCATGGCGTCCATGGCCGCATCGCTGGCCTCGAAGCTGGCGAAATTAATGAAGGCGAAGCTCTTCGACTTGCCCGTCTCTGGATCTCGCATGATCTTCGGTGTCTGCAGGATCACCCCGAAAGCGGAGAATGTATCGTACAGAAGCTTCTCGTCCACCTCGACATCCAGGTTGCCAATGAAGATGTTGGCGCCCACGTCCAGATTCTTCTGATGAGCCGACGCCTTATTCACGCGAATGGGTTTACCATATAGCTTGATCATGTTCATGATCTTGATGGCATAGTCGGCGTCCTCCTCGCTGAGGAACTCCACGAATCCGTAGCCCTGGTGCATTTGGGTGACACGGTCCTTGGGCATGTGCACGTTGACTGGAAGGGCAGGGATTAGGGGTGTTCTTGAGATTAACAATGAAATACTAGACTTACCCACTGGCCCCGCCTGGACAAAAAGCTCCCAGAGCAGCGTTTCCGACACCTTGTCGTCCAAACCGCCGGCATAGATAGTGGCATCTGTGGAGGGATGAAGAAGAGCTTGTTTAGAAGGACCCAGGGAACGGTGCTCGACGAATACCAACCTTGGTTGCGTTCAGCAATGGGACCTGCCGCCATTTTGGTACTATTTTTATAAACAAAACCAAAAATTTATATTCGGCGTTTTTGGCATGCAAATCCCTGAGGTATATCGATAGTTTTTAGGGATGCCACAAGCAGAGATAGAGACGGACGGAAAGTCGATACATCGATGCTTTAAGAATTATTGGAGACAGTGTCTTAGCTAATATCGATTAGCTAAGCAAAAATTAAAAATTACTTTTTTTTATAAATCAAATATATTTGATACTGAACTACAATTTGAAACATATCGCATATGTATCTCTTAACAATGCTGCTTTATTCTGCAGATCTGGTCACCGCTCTGCCAAGTTTGATAAATAAAATTTAAATCCATTTTTCTTACATTTCGACTTCTTTCATCATTCAAACGCTTAGAAATTGAGAAAAAATAAACGTTATTAAGAAAACAATTTTAAGTAAGGCCAATAAAAAAGTAAGCCAGAAACTCGAGCCTCGGAGGTAAATAGATCAGGTAATAATCCGAGCAGCCCATGACTGGGTCACCTTAATACAAAGCTATTTTTGGTGAAAAAAACTATTAAAATTAAAAACAAATATGTTATCCAGATTAATTAGTTATCAAACAACTACCTTCTACTGTGTTTAACTTCTAGAAACTGTGTTTTTTTTGTAAACTTATACGCCATAGGAGTTTATTAAATCAAAACTAAAAAAAAATTGTTGAGCTCACCAATATGTATCTTGAATCGATTTCCGCGATTTCTACTAAAAATATACCTTAAAATATTCAAAAAAATTTTAAAGCACATACGATGTGCACAAACGATTTCTACCATTCCCACTATCGATAGATCGATTGGCCGCGCTGGCCAAGAACTCAACTCTAATTTTTATGTAATGTCACTTTGTTGTCGTTTGTTACAAGAAGCAAGGAAAATTCGTGCTAGAAACCAAAGAACCAAGCCCCCAATATCCGTGCGCTGTGATGTGATAATCAATTGTGTGTAAATAATGAATTGTCATCAGATATTGAGCGGCGCCTGCAATGCAGGCGACCGGTGCTTCGCGATTGGATCCGTGGAAGGCATACCATTTACAGTAAGCGAAGAAGAATCGAAATCGAATCTAAGCAAAAATCGGAGGAGGAATAAGCATTATTTAGCAACGCATTGATTGCTTCCCTCGGCCACTCCTACCCAATCCCAATCATTGCCCATTCGATTGCTCTGCCCAGTTATTTTAGCAGTCTCCTCCCCAACTTCCAATTGGAAACGGGGCATCATCATCATCATCGTCATTCCAACCAGAACCGATCGCAGCACGTCTTTAATGTTTTTATTTACATATTTGCATGTGTGTGTGTCCCTGTTCGTGTGTGTGTATGGTTGATGTGTATGGATTTTTGCCACACTTGGTGGTCAATTAAAAAAATCAAATGCAAATGATGAGATAGAGAACTTTTTTTGTGTGTGAATGTGTGCCGTGGTGTGCTGTGCAAATTCGATAACAACAAAAGCTGAAAAATGTTTGTTTTCACCTGCATTTACATACTTGGCCAGCAATTAATTACATTTTACAATTTTAAGGTCAAGTGTGGCAGTAAACAAGCCGCACGCACACATGCGTAAGTAGCAGTCGTGTGGGTGAGAGTGTTTGACTGTGTTTGTTTGTGTGTACCCTTCGATTGGTCAGGTGGCCTTTGATGCCCTAATTTCGCAGCTTGCAGGTTGTCCCCCTCCCACTCTCCCGCACTCCCTTTCTCTCTTTCCCTCTCTCTTTCTCCGTCACACGTCAATGGCAAATTGAAATTATAAACGGCCATAAAAAACGTGAGCACGCATTTATAATGTGCCTTTTCGATCCCTATACTATATGTATATTTGTATATTTGCCTGACTTGTCTTCTTATAACTAATGATCGGAAAAACCTCATTTGGTTCTTCTAATTCCCAAAAACTAATAAAATAGCACTGCTTCTAGATAAAAACTTCATAATGAACCCAATAAGAACCCCTTTATATTGGTAATTTGACCTAATGGTTATATCCTCACTGTATCCATTTCAAACTATAAACAGCCCTTTAAAAACGTGAGCACGTATTTATAATGTGCCTTTTCGCTCCCCATACTATAAGGTACGATATACACGATATTAAAGTATATTTACCCCTAATGTTTATCCGATCAAGAGACCGTGTTGTGTGTTTTCCTGTAAATCCACAGAAGCATAATTAACTGTGCACATTTCGCCATTCTAATGAGAGGCCCCACGGGGCGTATGTGTACTTTCTATATTCTATTATATTCTATTCTGTAATCAGCACCGCTGTTGACACAGTCCCCCGTTCACAGACCCTCGTTTTCCCACCCGCCTTTTGCGCCATATCATTTGCCATCATTTCAATTTGTTTAAGTTCGAGTGTATGCATATGTGAATAATTATATTTATATAGTATATGGTCGGCACGAAGACAATCCCCTGGCGCCATCTATTGGATCATGGGGGGAAAAACCAACACCCCCTAAAAAAAACCATGAAAAAGAAGCAATGTGTCAAAACAAAATGTTAAAAATAAACCCATTAATACCCATTTTTATACTAGTAATATAAACTATGATGAAACTTTGTATACCCTGAGTGAGAAAAAGCTTCTTAATAAATATTTTCATTATACCAAAAACATCGTGATGCATCTATAAAAGGAAAACTGAATTATATCTATGTCGAACGAATGACTTGGTAATCGAAATGTTGTCTTCAATATATATTTATATTAAGTTATACCCAAAAATGTCCTCTAACGTACTTTACAAAACCAAGAGAGTAGAGCAGTGCGTCTAAACAAAGTTAAAATAAACCCGTCACAAAAGAGCTGTTGATACCCTTTTTCTATTAGAAAGTTAGCAGGTGACTAATCTCTGACAAAACAGTTGATGCCCTCGCTAATGAGTTAGTAATCATAAAAGAGCAAAAGATTCTATAAATATAAATAAGTAAATAAATTAGAAAGGTTTTTATCTAAAGCTAAGATACCATTATTATGACAATTTATTTGCAAGCGACAGAAAGGAGGTTTACATTTCACTATCATGATAACAAGTACTAAAGCCCCTCTGCATTGCGAAAGAATCTCTATAAATATTCCATATACCATTTATCACGGTTATAACCAAATAAGAGAATCATAATCAATGAACTAATTATTTGATAAAGTGAAGTGTGACTAAACCTTTTCCACAAAAACTGTCAGATTTCCGCCAAAAAAAATAACACTCTTTTAATACTCTTAAAAATCGAAATGAATAATTAACGTGATTTTACTGATATTTCAATTCGATAGAGATAAAAAATGCTGAAAAATAAGGGTTAATAATCTATTACTCGTCGCCGTTTTTTCAGACCTTTATCCATTAAAGTAATAAAACAGAAAAACCTGAGAGACTATATATAGTAATAGTATACCCATTCCTATTTAAACAGCGTCGCAGGGTATTCAAATTTCTGCCCACGATAATGAGCATATCAGCGACAGCTCAACAAATAAATCAAACACACTTTAGCTAACCAGGTAACCAAACATGATGTGGCAAGAGCCTTGTCAGCCAGGCTGATAAGCCAGTTAACTGGACAGTTGGGTTATTGTTATCGATATATGCCTATATATATATACATATTCATATACCCGTGCATATACACTTGAGAACAAATACCCCGAGAGCACATAACGATCGTATAATGTTTAGATTAACTGCAGTAGAGTCTAGCCACTTATAATGCTATTGTTTTGCTAAATTTCTAGGCCTACGCCGCCGGCTGCAATGTGGTCATCCTGGCGAGCACCTTCGAGCGCGTCCAGATCATTCCGGGCGCCAGCCATGGCTATGTCAAGATATCCGCTTTGGACTGCAGCACCGATACCGGAAAGATAGCGGCAGCCTATGAGAACAAGATATGCATTTTTGAGCCCACGCCGGTGATCGAGTCCAGCAAGCACAATACCCACTTTTTGGACTACAGGTGAGTTGGTAATGGTTGTATACGATGCAGAGGCTAGGAATGGGTTTGGATATGTTTATGTTAAATGACAGAAAAAAAACAAAAAGCCAAAAGTCTATAATTTACAACTGCAATGGAAGCTTACTAACCTTATTCCTGGTGTTTCTTGCAGATGGGTGCAAACGGGCTCCTTCACCAGTCACTCGAGCGTGGTGACCCTGTCCTGGAATCTGGAGGGCACGCGTCTCCTGACCGGTGGCACCAACATCCAGCTGTGGAAAAGCAAGTCGCCCACTCACCAGCAGGAGGAGGAGCACACTGGTGAGTGAGCCATAAAACCCCCACTCCTCTGGCCCCTTTTCTTCTGCTGCCAACTATCGATTGGCGTGGGAGGAGATGAATCACAGATTCCAAGTGGTTGAAAATGGGTTCCAGGGGGTTTTCACATTATACAGTAGTTCTGACGCCATCGGAGTTTTCACGTCTGTTATAAATCACTTTAACTATCTCTTCTTACGTAAATCCTTAAAATACTAGAGACCTTTAAGAATCACCGTAATTTACTTTAAAAGCACTGTAAAATATATTTAATTTTGAAAGCTATTCATACCTCAGTTTTCTCGTGCTCATAAGTAACTAATTTAGGTTTTAAAATGTTTTCTTATTTCACAACCTAGTTTTAGCTAGGATGACGTAAAAGAAACCGGCCTTACACTACTTAATATTAATCGCAGGCTATATTTATAATAAATTTCGATCAGTAAAGTTTTTTTATTTACATATTGAAAATCTGTTGGTTCAGTTACTTTGTTTAGGCTGCATTAGCACCAAGTAATTTGAGTGAATTTCAATTAAATTCTGTTCTTAGAAACCCCATGTACAAGTGTCCTTATAAGCAACCTAATTCTAATGATAATTCCGTTCTACACTAGGCGTTAAGTTCGAGATTGGCGAGAGCAAGGAGCCGAAGCAGTCGAACAATGCCCAGTCGGAGGATGTGTCCACGTGGGAGAACATTTGGAGCTGCCAGACGGCCATACCCATTTACCACATGGCATTTAGTCCGGACGGAACGCTCTTCGCCACCTGCGGCCGCAACGATCGGCTGGTTAAGATCTGGTATGAGAACAAGCAGGTTCTCTTCCCGGCCAAGGGCACCTCCGCCGCCGGGGGACCCACGACCTCTGGCCGACATGGCGGGGACGACGGCACTGGCTCCGGTTCCGGCGGAGAGCTGAACTTCACGTACGTGTACATCGCCCATCCGCGAGCCGTGTCCAACATTGTGTGGCGCAAGACGAGCAAGTACATGCCCAAGGGATCGGTGGCCAACATGCTGGTCACCTCCTGCCTGGACAACATCTGTCGCATCTGGATTGAGACGGTGCTGCCGGACGACGGTATGGTGAACATGACCCAGTTCGATCCGATGGCCTCGCAGAACCCGAAGTTCCGGACGCATCGGCACAAGCATCGCTTCATGCAGCGGCTGAAGCACATGAAGACCTGCTTCCACATCCGCCGGCATATGAAGGCTGGAGTGAGTGCCGGACCAGGAGCGGCCAGTGGCGGGGTGGCCAGTGGCGGAGGAGCCGCCGGCGCAATGGGCGCCATGGGCAGCTCGCCGGCCAGCTACACCAACTATCTGGGACCGATACCCTCGCTGCCGTCCTCGTGCAGTGTCCACGACTTTCACTCTTACGGATTCCAGGGATCGGGCGTTACTCCCGGCATGCACTTCCACTTGGCCGCGTCCATAAACGCGGAAACGGACATACCGCTGGTGCCATCGATGCAGACCAGCGATCCGGCCAACCAGAATGTCTTTATCCTGCACTGGCTGAACAACAAGGAGATGCATTTCACGCTCCAGGCGGAGGCCATACTCCAGGAGCTCACCAAGAAGGTGATCGACGAGGAGAACGGCCACGGGAACGCCTCAAGTGGTGGTGTCGATCTGCCGGACGATGCCCATGGCTCCCATTCGCAGGCGCACGCGCACAAGAAGTACCTGCGCTCCTCCAAGTCCGTGTCCGTGGACGACAGCGGCGAGGAGTACAGCCGCTACTCGCAGCACACGGCGGGCACGGGCATGGGCGGTGGCGGCGGCGGAGGAGCGGGAGTAGGGCTCCATCTGAACTCCATGTCCAACACGACGTCGCAGAACTCGCTGAACAACGAGCCGGCGCACCCAATTACACAGCTGGTGGATTCGTTGGACAACAAGATCGAGTGCCTGCTGCGCGACTGGCACCAGAGTCCGGATTTGCTCTTCGCCATTCACCCGGTGGACGGAAGCTACCTGATCTGGGTGATCGAGTGGCTGGACGACTATTATCCGGGCTCGTTCAGGCAGGCGCAGGTCTCCTTCTCCACGCGCATCCCCTCGGCCTTTCCGCTGGGCGATGCCATGTCCATGTCCACCACGGTCAGCCTGTTCAATACGGGCACCCATCCGCTGGCCTTCCGCGACATTGCCAACAATGTGCGCAGCAAGGACGAGTTCCACAAGGGACACGCCGATGATTCCTCTCTGAAGAGTGACCAGCACTCGGGGCAGACCTTCGAGCGGCACGACGAAGAGCAGGAGGATGCGGCCGAGGATGAGGACGGCGACAGGGACGGCGACGCGGATCAAGATGAGGCGGGCGGCGATCGCAGTGCTGCGGCCAGCGGAGGCGGAGGAGGTGCCGAGCACAGCAGTAGCTCGCAGGATTCGGCTGCAGCCGGAGCCAGTGCTCTGCCCATGAACGTTTCTCCGTCGGTGTCCATGGTGACCAAGCACTCGAACGGCACCCTCAACCTGTGGCAGCTGACGTTCGCCTTTAAGACGAAGTTCACCCAAGTATTAAGCATTGGCCACGTGAGCCGCGCCTCCGGCCATCGGTTCCGGGTGAACGACATCACCTGCCACCCGGTGCTGCCGCTGCTCGTCTCCACCTCGCACCACAACCTGCCCGATTCGGAGGCCAAGTCGCCAATGTCTCCGTTTGAGCAGCCCCTGAGCGGAGGACTTCCATCGGGCGGAGGAGCTGGATCCGGGCCCTCGGGAGGTTCGAATGGGGACAAAGATGTATTTACGCCCACGGGCTTCTGTTCGGAGTTGATCCTGTGGCGTGTGGACTCCGTGGGACCGCTGTGTCATTCGGGCGGCGTTAGTGAGCTGGCCAGGATCAACTCGCCGGAGATCTCGGCCTTCAGCAATGTGGCCTGGATCCCGACGCTTCTGCCCAGCACCACATTGGGCAGCTACAGCAACTCCCCGTCCGCCTGCTTTGTGGCCAGCGATGGCGAGAACCTGCGCGTCTACCAGGCGGTCATCGATGCCCGCACCCTGCTGGCGGAGATCTCGTGCTCGGAGAACCTCAACACGCTGCACAAGTCGCACTCGCTGTCGTCGATGATCTCGAACGCCTCGTCCACGATGCGGGCCCAGCGGTCGGCGCTGCACGACAAGCTCAAGGTGGTGTCCCAGCAGTCGACGGCCCGACCCGGCTGCATCCTGCAGCTGGACGCCATCTCGGATGCCAAGCACGACTGGCAGAACACCCAGTTCCTGCACGTGTTCCAGGCGCAGTTGATTACGGGTGGCCAGAGGACGCCCCTCACAGATCCCCACGACCTGGAGGAGCCGCGCATGAACGCCCTGCTGGAGTCGGACATGGACGCCATTGTGGATCTGCAACGGAATGCCGACTTCGAGGAGCCCTTCTACATTGTGAACATCGAGAAAACACTGCGCGGCAGCACGATTCACATGTGGCGCATTGTCATCAGCTCCAAGCAGCAAAACTCGTTCCTCTCGGAGACGGCCATGTATGTGCCGGATAGCAACCTCACCCAGGAGCCAGACGAGGAGCAGAATGGCGCCGGTGGCAACCCGAATCCCAGGCGAATGTCGCAGGGAGCGGAAACGCTGACGGGCGCCGAGCACTTTGGGCCCCAAGTGGAGGCGCCGCACATCTCGATTACCACAAAGAAGGTGTGCACCCAGGAGCTGCCGCTGCCCGAGGGCGTGGACGTGATCCATGCCTCTCCGGCCGCCGGTCACCTGAGCAGCTCCAGCATTTATCCGGCCTGCTTTGCGCCGTACATCATTGTGACCGCCTGCTCGGATTCCATTTCGCGCTTCTGGAAGTGCGAGCCCATCGGCGATGATCAGGACGATCAGGATCCGGAGGGCGATGCCTACCACTGGAGCGAGTGGAAGATGTTCAGCCGGATCCAGCACTCGGCCATCGAGATTCCCGGCCAGCCGCTGAACATCAGTGCGGCCTACTCCGGCCGCATAGCCTGTGCCTACAAGTACGGCAAGAGCTTCACGCGCCCGAACAAGGGACCCGATCCGGACTCGCGCTACGTCAACCTCTGCGTGGCCATCTACGAGTGCGAGAGCTCCGGCGGCAGCGAGTGGGTGCTGGAAGACACCATTCACCTGAAGAACGTCCACCTGCCGCGGATCAACATCGGGCATGGCATCGACCTGAGCTACCTGCACGACAGTCGGCTGCTGGCGAAGAAGCAGCGGCTGAACCAGGTCCTCCACACCTTCGCCCACGATCCGGAGAGCCGGTCGCCGCGCAGTGGCGAAACAACACCGGAACTGGCCGTCAATAGGCAGCCCTCGGTCGCTGCCTCGGGTCTGCTAACCGTGCCCAGCTTCAGCACGCTGCAGTCCCTGCGGAAGAGCATCGCCGAGAACGGGAACACTTGTCCGCTGACCCAAAAGCATCTGGTCCAACTGGACTGGGTGAGCAAGGAGGATGGCTCGCACATCCTAACCGTCGCCGTCGGCAGCAAGATCCTACTGTACACGCCCGTCAGCTCGGACATTGCCCAGGCGAACATCAAGGCCATGAAGGAGTCGCGCTCGGTGAATCGCCCCATCCTACGGAAGGCCAGTTCCCTGGCGCAGCCGAACTTCGTGGACGAGATCCGTTGGATGAAGTTGCGGCAAATAGACCTGCAGACAGCCGACGGTCTGCCGCCGTTGCCAATGCAGATTTCCTGGGTGCGCGATGGCATTCTGGTGGTGGCCATGGACTCCGAGATGCATGTGTACTCGCAGTGGAAGCCCCACTACTCCTCGCACTTTGCAGCGGCTGCGGCGGCCGCTGGAGAGGATGTGCCGGACACCCGGAATCTGCGGGACGAGGATCTGCGCTCGTTGGCCAACGAGTCCACGCAGCTGCGGCTGAAGAACGTGGCCTCCATGCCGCTGATCAGCAAGGTGAGCACGGCCAATCTGCAGCTGCTGTCGCACGACAAGAAGCGTCGTCTGGGCAACACCAGCATGGCCAATATGAATGGAGCCGGCGGGGCGGGCGGAGCAGCTGGCTCCTATGGCGGCGCCGGTGCGGATGACGGCGGCAACGATGACTACATGACGGACTTCGGTCTGTTCCAGGCCTCGCGCATCGCCTGTCCAGTGTTGCCGCAGTACCATCCCAAGCAGCTGATGGAGCTGCTCAACTGCGGCAAGATCCGCTGGGTGAAGGCCATCCTGGCGCATCTGGTGCGCTGCATGAGTGGCAACAGTTCCAGTGCGGTGGCCCAGGACGAAGATGGCTATGCCAGGCAGCGCAGCTGGTCGAGATCGCGCACCCTGAGCATTAGCTACACGGCCGATCAGAACATTCAGGCGGAGCATCGCGGCAGCACCACTCAGATTCCCGAGGAGCTGATGCTGGACTACGCGGAGATCAACTCGATTCCGCCGTTGCCCTTGTGGGTGCTCCTCAACGCGGACAGGGAGACGCCGGGTCAGAGCAATAACTACGCCGAGGGCGACAAGGACTACGACGAGCTCTTCGACATGCACAACTCGGAGGACAACCTGGACGAGCTGCTGAGCGAGGGCGACGAGAAGAAGCGCCAGGAGCGCCGGCTATCGCTGCCCGAGAAGCACTCCATCTCGCACTTTGGTCCGCGGCAGGGACAGCTCCTCTCGCGCCTACTGACCCACACCCACTTGCCCGGACTCTCCTCGCTGGACCAGATGCATCTGCTGGCCCTGGCCGATACGGTAGCCACATGCAATACGGATTTCTCCGACAAGTTTGCCGCCGACCAGAGCAAGTCGGGCGGTGTGGGAGGAGGAGCGGGCTCGGGAGCTGTGAAGGATGGCAGCACCAGTACGGACTCGCTGGACGACTGCGGCCTGCGCTTCCTGCTGGCCATGAAGCACTTCACCTACCTGCTGCGCTGCCTTCCGCTCCAGCAGCGGGCGCAGTTCCAGCGCCAGGGCGTGGGCACCTCCAACATCGTGTGGGCCTACCACTCGGAGAGCGAGGAGGAGCTACTGAACCTGATACCCAGCTACACCAAGGGCGACCTCCGCTGGGCCACGCTGAGGGATCTGGGCATGGGCTACTGGCTGAAGAACATCAACACGCTGCGGAGGTGCGTGGAGAAGCTGGCCAAGTGCGCCTACCAGCAGAAGCAGGAGCCGCTGGACGCGGCCATCTACTACCTGGCCATGAAGAAGAAGTCCCTGGTGTGGGGTCTGTTCAGGTCGCGTCGCGACGAGAAGATGACCGCCTTCTTCGGCAACAACTTCGCCGAGGATCGCTGGCGCAAGGCGGCCCTGAAGAATGCCTTTGTGCTGCTCGGCAAGCAGCGATTCGAGCACGCGGTGGCCTTCTTCCTGCTGGCCAATAGCCTGAACGACGCCATCGAGGTGTGCATGAACAAGCTGGAGGACTTCCAGCTGGCCCTGATCATTGCTCGACTTTACGAGGGCGACGCCGAGGGCTGCTACTATCATCATCTGCTGCACGAGCACGTTTTGGGAACGGATCCGGAGACCGGGCGCTGCGACCTCAGCCGCGCCCATCCCGATCCCTTCCTGCGGTCGATGACCTATTGGACAATCAAGAAGTACCAGGAGAGCCTCAACACCCTGCTGCTGAACAACGTGGGCAGCCTGCACAGCAGCTACAGGGAGGAGGACCTGCTGCGCCCCGAGCCGCAGGCCACCAATCCGAATGTGTTTAACTTCTACATATATTTGCGCACCCATCCGCTGCTCATCCGGCAGAACATCGCCCTGTCGGCGCAGGAGAAGCGCATCGCCCATGTGGTCCTGTCCGGGTTCAACTACGCCGGCGATGCTGCGCCCAGTGCCGTGGCCTGTGACAAGCAGCTGCAGCTGGAGGATTCGATAACGCCCATCGAGCGGCAGCTGTACTTCACCACCGCCCACGGTCACTTCAAGAGCGGCTGTCCGGCTCTGGCACTCGAGGTGCTCAACAAGCTGCCCCAGAAGATCAGTGATGATTCCGGCGGCAGTGTGGCCGGCAGCCAGGCGCAGGAGCGGGCCCAGCAGAACAAGGAGGAGCTGATCAACACAGGCATCATGGACCAGTGGGGAGCAACTCCGGCCGCCGCGCAGAATACAGCGGATGCCTTTGACTGGGGCGCTCCCGTGGCCAGCGAATCGGAGGCCAAGTTCGAGATCAAATGGGATGACGAGGATGAGGATGAGGTGGACCCGGATCTGGAGCCCGACGAACCGGAGCTGGCCACTCCGCAGCCGCAGGCCTCCATTTTGGGCCGGGGCAAATCGAGTGGCAACGACAACAAGATGGACATTATGGCCCAGCAGCTGAAGTTCGTGGCCTGCCTGAAGATCCTCATGGAGGAGCTGTCCACGCTGGCCACCGGATTCGAGGTGGATGGCGGCCAGTTGCGCTACCAGCTGTACATGTGGCTGGAACGGGAGGTGGAGGCGCTGAAGCAGTTGTGCAACTACTGCAGCCAGTCGGAGCAGGCGAGTCACGAGTCCGGGGATGTGGATGCCGAGGCCAGGGACAAGGAGATGAACGCCAGCATCTATCCCAGCACGGAGCGACCCACGCTACACGAGATCCTCATGCAGGACAAGCAGGACTTTGAGGCCAAGGTGATGCGGGCGGCCAAGCGCAAGCGATGGCTCAAGGGTAAGATTGTCTTGGTTAACCGGTTGAATTACAATTAATCTCATGCATTATCATTGCAGCCAATGAAACCCTGCTCCGCACCTTGCTGAGCTATTGTTCTCTGCATGGAGCCAGTGGCGGAGGCCTGGCCTCCGTCCGAATGGAACTGGTGCTGCTCCTGCAGGAGCTGCAGCAAGAGAAGACCCAACAGCAGCTCCTGAGCCCGCTGCCCTTCCCCACCACGCTGCCCCTGCTCAGCGCCTGTGTGGCGGGCAACAAGACGGTGATCGCCGATCCCATCAAGTACCTGCAGTCCCAGACGGTGGACATGCTGCAGAGCATCATCAAGGTGCTGCCCTTCCCAGGGATCGAGCCGAGTGCTTTGAGTGAGATCTTCGTGCTGCGCGATCTGGCGGTGGCCCTGTCGTCTTGCATCTACCAGTCGCTCTGCGATTCTGAGAGCTTTGTGGTGAACAATTCGGCCTTCAACGGTTATCCCAGTCCGGGCATGGAGAACATAGCCAAGATAAACTCGTCCTTCGAGTGCAGCTATTTGGTTGGCAGTCGGAATGCCTATGGCCGTCGGCGCAAGTACTCCACGGATGAGCCGGCCGGCGTGTGCACCACTCCATCCAAGTGGCCGGGCGTAACCAATCTGCGTGCGCTTTTGGCCCGCGAGAAGGATGAGGATGTGCCCAAGCTGAATGTGCTGCTGCTGGAGTCTTTCGTCTCCACCTACATGGCGCTCTTCATTTACTCGCTGTCCACCTGCGATAGTCGTTTGCTGTACCGCCTGAGTGGCCAGAGTTTCAACAACGAGACCTGGTCCACTCTCTTTGGCGGCGGGATGAAGAAGTTGCTCATCAAGCCAGCCGCGGCACAGCCTCTTAACCAGATGGCGGCAGGAGGAGCGGGAGCAGGAGCTGGCGGAGCCGTAGCCGCTGGTGGAACTGGTTCCACCTCCGAAGAGCCGGCGGATGAGAACAGCGTTTGGAATACGGTCACTTCCATTACAAAACAGCGCATGAAGTTGAACATGAAGATCCTGGGCAGCTTCAGCCAGAACAGCACTTCCAGCAACATGAAGGAGGACAAGCCGACGTACCGGGAGCAGTTTATGCCGCCGGAGACATCCATGCTGTCCTATTTCCTAACCAAACCGCCCACAACTGGTGGGTTTTCAAACCTTTTTTGGCAAGTTATACCCCCTTAACTGATGAATCCCTTCCAGAATGCGATGACTACGACACGGACGACTCGCACGAGTCGGACAACGAGGAGGAGGAGGATGACGACGACGATGTGAATGTGAGCCGATCCCAGCTGAAGGCCAAGGACAACACGGAGCACACCAATCCCACGTCGTATTCGTGGAGCATCCTGCGCCTGGCACTCATCAAGATCAGCACGCACAAGATTCAGGAGTTGGTCAAGGTGGCCGGCATCGAGCTGCAGGGTAGTTGTAACATTTCATCCATCGATTCGCCATCATCCACTAAGCTGCATCCCTCTATATTGTCTTCCCGTTTCGCGCAGATTTGCCCGTGATCAGTCCACTTTCGCACGAGGTACTGAGGACGCTCAATCGCTGGCAGGACTTTGCCCTGAGTGACCTCATAGCGCGCGGACCGCCGTCCCGCAATTATATACCAGGATGCTATGCGGAGAGCGGCATCAACGGCCTTGCCATCCACAAGTACCGTTCGCTGCTGAACAAGGACAACACTCCGTTCGTTTCGGGCTCGTCGGCTGGCCCGATCCGGCGACTGTGGAACTACCTGGTGCGACAGGAGCCCGCCCAGGAGGTGTTCATCAAGAGCATCTTCGGCAAGAACATGGAGCCTAGCACCCGGGGATCACACCATACCCACAACGACAACGAGACCGACGAGGGTGAGTCCTTTGTCTCTAATAATTCACTAAGTACTGATTCTTATACTGAATTGTTACCCACTCCGTGCAGGTCAATCCCATTCGACCAACGAGAATACCGACCACATCCGGATCATTCACAAGGATCACGAGTCGATATTGTCCTTCTGCTTGAAGAACAACAGCTCCTCGATGATTGCATTCGCAAATCCGCGGGAGATCCAGGAGTTCGACATCTCTCTGCTGCTGGAGTCGCCAAATTGGTACGAGGATGAGTGCGACTACGATATGATGAACCTGTCCAAGGATGCGGACACCAACAGCTCGTCCTTCCTGATCATTCAGACGCAGGAGCAGTAAGTCTAGCTTTGTCTGTTTGGGAATTGTTCTTTATTGATGGGTTTTACTTGCAGAAACCAATTTGGAAGTAATAGCAATGCATACAGCGAGTCCAATGCCAGCACACAAAGTGCTTCGCAATCGGGACGCGGCACATCCATGGTGGGTGGTGATCCTCTTAAGCGTTCCAAGCCTGAATCTAATGCTTTCCCTCTGCAGGTGCTGCGCCACAAGGTGGACAATGTGAAGAGGATGAGCGCCCATCCGCTGATGCCGCTGTACCTTACCGGCGGCCAGGATGGATCCGTGCAGATATGGGAGTGGGGTCACCAGCAGCCCGTCTGCTCGCCTCGCACCTCCGGCACCTTTGCCAAGGTGACGCGCTGCCGCTTCTCGGAGCAGGGCAACAAGTTCGGCATCGGCGATGGCGACGGCAAGCTCAGTCTCTGGCAGGCGGGCATCGCCTCACAGAACAATCGTTCGTTCATAGTGAGTTGGCACATGGTCTGGGACCAACGGCGGTTCACTTATTAATCCTTTTCTTTTTGCAGAGCTACCAGTGCCACAACAAGGCCCTGTCCGATTTCGTGTTCCTTGGTTCCTGCAGTCTTCTGGCTAGCGGTGAGTTTAAACATTTCTTCTAAAGACTTCACTTTATATTCAATCCATTTCACAGCTGGTCAAAGTTCCGAGAACAAGAACATCAACATCTGGGACACACTGCTGCCCCACAAGAAGTCCTGTGTGTCGGGTAAGTATTGGGTTAACCAAGGCCAATGAGTGATTTCTTATGAGAGAATCCTTTACAGCCTTCACCTGTCACGACCAGGGATCGTCCTGTCTGGTGTTCGCTCCGCAGCATCAGGTGCTCATCTCGTGTGGCAAACGCGGCGATGTTTGCGTCTTCGATGTGAGACAACGTACGCTGCGCCATCGCTATCAGGTGGGTTCTACGGATTTGGTCCCCCAAAACTGAAAAATAATATTTTTTAATCCCCCGACAGGCCCATGATAGCACCATTAAGTGCATAGCTTTGGATCCGCACGAGGAATTCTTTGTCACTGGCTCCATTGAAGGTGACATTAAGGTGGGTTCTGGCTATCTTATCTTATAGAGAACTTTCGATTAACCAAGGGTTTCCCCCGCAGATCTGGGACATGAATCAGTTCATGCTGATCAACGCGTTCCCGCATGAGCATGCCAAGAACGGGTTCTTCAAGCACACCGGCCAGGGAGTCAGCCAGGTGTACGTAGATCCCTTCGGACGACTCTTCTCCTGCGGCTCCGATGGCTGCATGAAGGTCCGCCTGCTGGTGGAGAAGGACAACATTGTCCACTCCGTGTATTGAAAGCTGTATTCTATCCTTAACATTTCTGGCACGGATGTGGATCTCCGTATCCGAGTCGGTGTCCGTTTGCCGCAGCCAAGTCCGTGTTTCTGCTCGTCTGTTTTTATGTGTGTGCCGCGGCAAAAAAGAGGACGCGATTCGAGTGTCCTACAATATGTGTATTCTTTGTTAATCGTTGATTATTGTAAACTTTTTTAATTGTATTTCAATTTCCTACACGTACAGATATACATATATATATATATTTTATTACTATTTTTATTTGCATAAATGTATTGTCTTTTTTTTTTGCCCATTTCCGTTTTGCTATTTAATGTGTTTTTCCAAACGACGAAACAAAAAACGAAACTTGTGTCTGACTCGATTCGCTTGATTCGTTTCATGTTCTTTGAGTATTTCCTAAACAGACTATATACTATACACTACTATACAGATACAAGATATATATTATATACATCTATTATATGCTTTAAATCAATTAATTATTATTATTATACGATATACAAGACATTCGACAGTATGGTAATTGATATGCTTACGAATATATATTACGATCTATGTCTTTGTGTTGAGCTTTGTGCAAAAATTTGTCTGTTGTTGAATCAATCAAGATATATGTATACCTAAAACGAAACTAAATGAATTAACTAAAAATAAATAAAGTGCAAAATGAATAAAAAAAATTAATTAAACCAAATGAAGTGTCTTTCAATATTACCTCGATAAGTGAGAATTTAAAATATGTTCTCTAGAACCCATGGCTTAAAATAACCGAGCTATATGATTTAGTGAGTTAGACTTCAATATCAAACCTTTTTGGTATGTTAATTTTATTATTTTCAATTCAATTTTGTCGTCAACAGGATGTTCCCAACCACGATGGTCATAAGACCATAAATGGTTCCATCCATTTGCCCACTAATATACACATCAAACATCAGTGAAATGTTCCATTTCCGTTTGCCATTGAAAAGTGTTTTTCTTATTTCGTTTTTATTATTTCTTTTCTGTGTTTTTGCTTATTTTTTTTCATTGTTAGACAATCAAACAAATTAGACGCTACGCCTTATATGGGCCTTTAATAATAAAACTAGCAAAAAAAAAAATAGGTTGAAGAGTTCACAGAGGAGACAGATAGAAAGAGAGGCAACAAAAACATAGATGGTAGCCAAAAGAGGAATTATTATGGATCGGATCGGATCGGATCGGCGGATCGAGCGGAAACGTTGGCATCCGTTGAAAACAGCATTATGTGTATAGTATACAGCGAAGTAGGGTAAGATAAAATGGGGTAGAACCGAATCCGGAGTGTGGTCGTCAAGGGGGCCCGTGTATTTGGATGTGGATTTGGCCGGAACGCGTTGTCGTCGTATCATATGGCATTGCATCGGATTGGATCTACGACCTCGGCGGCTTAATTAGCTTGCTTGTGGGCGGTGGCAGCTTGCAGAAGCCAGCCGCATCGAAAACGGGCAGCAGTTCCCTCACCCGTCCGGGAATCGAGCCATCGAGCATTCTGCGGGGGCGGAAGATTGGGGAGAACATTACCGTGGGTTATTTAAATAATTACTTAGAAATTGTTTCCTTGAAATTAAATTTACTGTTAATCTTCATAAAAAGGTTGGTTTTGAATTATCAAAACCCCGCACTTTTTACTCTATAACTTTACTTACTAAAAATCCGATTTTGAAATGCTATACCTTAAAATGCTTGAGGTTTAGTTCCCTTAAAATCTGCATTTAGGTCTTGGCTTGTAATTTTGGTTCGATTTTACCTAAATCATGGACTTCTAATTTCATAACTTTTCTATTTAAAGTCCGATTTTAAAATGGAATGTCTTAAAAAGTTTATGGTTTAATTCCCTAAAAATCTGCATTCACACATTTTTTTATAATTTTGGGTCGATATTTTCGACATTTTAATGACCTAATCCCTTTCCAAATTTTCGGAAATTGGGGTTGCAGAAAAGTGACCCAAATCATGCACTTCTATGCCCATAACTTTTCTATCTGAAGTCCGACTTTAAAATGGCATGTCTTAAAAAGTTTGTGGTTTAATTTACAAAAAATCTGCATTCACACATTTTTTTGACATTTCCATGAGGAATCGAAAAATAGGGTTTGGTGACACCAAATCATTATTATTTCATATTATTGAAATACCTGCGCTTGTAGTCAATCTTGGCGCCCTTCAGCGAGATGTTGGCCTCAGTGGGAAAGAACGTGGCGTCGTAGAAGTTGAGTCCGTTCTGCAACAAGATGTTGTACTCGTCCATGGAGGCCAGCGTGATCCGGATGACGGCAGGAGGCAGTTCCCTGCGCTCAGGACGCTCGGCCTTCTCGATGGCATCGCCCACCACGGAACCCACGCTCTTGGAGGTGCCTGCAAAATAAGGCGATTGAAAGTGGGTGAGTGGTATTTCCCAGAGATAATTTACACCTAGAGAATGTAGTCGTAATATAGTCAAGTCGATGTAGTCATTTCAGGAGTTCAGGAGGTCCCCCAACTTCAAAAGAGTAAAGTTTAATGTATGAGTTAAAATATCATAGCATAATCAAGATAATAAAATGTAGTTGGCACTTACTTATTTTTGCCATGATTAATATTTTACTATCAATAATATTTAACTAATTCACTGAAGTTCTTGGTAAATATTTTACCAAAACAGTTCTACAATTTTAAAGACTTAGAAAACCCCTTTCCCGATGACCACAACTTCGCTGAGTAACTTAACCATAGGACAAGGGGACAATTTCAATATATTTTCGCATGTTACCAATTGAAGGGTACTTTACTTCGTAGTGCCGCTCGGCGCAAAGTCTGGGTCGGCGTGTGCAGCAGCTGGATCTGCTCACCTTCGACGCCCTTGTCGCCGCCGGCGGAGGAGGAGCCGGTGGCGACCGAGGAGGAGGAGGCGTTGGCGGCGTTGCTGGCGGGGCTCGAGTAGATGTGCAGGCGCACCACCTCCACCACCGAGTCGAACTTGTACATGGCATGCCGGATGTCCTCCACGGGCAGATCCTCCGGCACATCGAGGACGTACAGGGTGAAGGTCTTCCGCGGCCGACACGGAATGGCTATCTGTGGGTCACCAAAAATAAAAACGGGAAAGGAGAACGGAGAGTGACTGCTGCGCATGCGCATGGTTAAGTTATGGATCGATATCGATCGATGGATGTGGGTGGTTTCTGAGGGTTTCTGAGCATTTCTGAGGGTTATGTCTGTGCTATGTCTTAACTATAATCGATAGCCAATCGCAATCCCAATCTCAGTAGTGAGTCATCAATCGATTTGGATATATGTGTATGGATACTCACGCTTCGCGAGAATGTTTGCTGCAAAATGGGGAAATAAAATTTGCATTTTTCACTTGTCGATTGGGTTAGTCTGGCACAAGATGCTCGATGATCGGATCTGATGAGGTGACGATTGGTGTTTGGGATGGAAATGGGCAGTGATGGGAAGTTCCAGGAAGTGGGTTTTACTCCAAGCAGGTGCAACGAATGACCAATAGACAATTTTGGAATTTAATTCATTTATGCTTTAAGTAGTTTTTATCTGAAATTTTCGTAATTTTAAACTTTTAACAAATTTGAAATATCTTTCGTTTGGAAATTAATGTCAGTAATTAATTTATATTTAAAATTGAATACGGATCTTAAATTCATTTCAACATTTACAAAAATATAAGGATATGAAAATATGTATATGATGTTATAAAAGCAGTCCACAAAATATATTTCTTCTTTTTTCGAAAAAATATTTGTATGCTTCTTGATCAGGAAAAAGATAATCGGTCCAAATAAATTATTGATATTGATTTGCAAATTTCGGGTGTTGTGTGTAGGAGGCACGAATAAATATTTCTCTGTTTAGTCACACTTATGATACTCTCGGGACATTCCAACTTTATTGAGAAGCCGTTGCACCCCCGACCTCACTGATGTGGCACATACCTTGTGCCCCATTATGCCCTTCCAATCACTGGAGATGTGGGTGTGGGTGGGTGGGCTCACCTTGCGGTAGAATCGCGCCCCGGTGACCTTGTGGAAGCCCTTCTTGAACACCGCCTGATAGTCATCTGGGTGTGAGAATTTAAACAGAATGCCTGTAGCGGTTTTGGTCAAGCTGAAGCATCCCTTGAAGGCCATCTTCTCGCAGATGAGTGCGGCCCGCTCCATGGACAACTCGTAGGAGGGGGTCAGTAGGAAGGCGCCTGTAAGTACGATTGCGATCTGGTTAGGCTACGTGGTTAGTCTCTCCAGCTACCGGGTTAGTTCGATGGGTTCGATGGGGGGCTCTCGGTTTAATAATCATGCACTACGCGAAACAGGATAGAAAGCCAACTTCGGCGGGCCAAAGTTTAAATACCCTTGCACTTGGAAATTGATTGAACAATATATTTTTGGAAAAGTTTTAACTACTTAACTATTACTAGTTTAAAAAGAATTTAAGATACTTTATAGAGTAATATATTAAAGAGTAATATATTAAATTTCTGGCTATTATTAAAATCCCGCCTGCAAAGGTATTCGTTTAGTGATTTCCTAATGTTTATGTGTTAGAGCTGGGCCATGGCCACCTTTGGTCAGGAAGTTGTCCGGCGACGAGACCTCCGAGTCGGAGTCATCCTCCCGCTTGTCGGTCCACTTGGGCTCCGCGGACAGCTTGTGGGCCGCCACCTTGGTGACGATGCCCGAGGGCCGCTGCCTCGGGAACTCGTTCTTTTCGCACTCCAGATCGGATGTGTTGCCCAGGAAAGACATGTTTGAAACTCGATAAAGACACTCGACACAAGTAAACGGTGTGAAACCAAAACCAAAAAAAAAATTGATACTCGAAAACGATTCGAAAACGGTTCGAAAACGATCGCAATTCGCTTAGGCGGCAGGCGGTTGGGGCGATAATTTTGAAGCAACTGAAATGTAGCCGCGTTTTCGAACCGCTTTTATACGGTCCGTTGGGCTCGCTTCGCATCGCATCTTTGGCTTCTAGGTTTGGGCACCGATCAACGAAATGAAAGTCCCACACACGCATACTATAGAGGTCAAAATGTCAGCACTGAAACACTAACATTTTGATAGAAATTGATTTGTATTTTAAAATATTTTGTATGGTTGATAAATTAAAGGTTGAAGAAAACTACTCTAAAGCTGAAAATAAAAATTTATGAGGCTAGTACAATTTAATTTTTCTAATAATTTGCAAATCATAATTTGATCAGGTATGGTTAACCAACAGGTCGTATACTCGATTTTAGAAGTTCCTTTTGAAAAACAAGTATTCATTAAATTGGCTTAAGAGGGCTTTGGATACTCAATAATTGATTATTGGTTTCCATATTTCATTTATAATTTTGATTATTTCTGATCAACTAGTCGTATACGCAATAACCTACATACTTTACAAGAAATTGTGTATACGTAAGAAATGTTGTATTTCAAAAAATCTACTTAGTTAACGAGACTGATTGATTTTGTGATATTATCATTACTTGCTTATCTTATAGATAAAGAGATTGATTAATATTGTGATATTATCATATATCAGTTCTACCATTTTAACCGCCGCTGTGGGCACGGGTTATGCGATCATGTCGGATGTCTCTGAAATTGGAAGTTGGTTCTTACAATTAGACGACGGCACATTATTGTTTGTTATTGATCCTCTCCCGGTGGAGTGGGCGATCATGGAATGGGATGGGATGGGATCCGATTGGACTGGATTGGCTCGGATCGGTGCAGATGGGTGGCCGGGTGGTGGTCGGGTCGCAGGTTGACGCCATCGACACCGCTATAAAGCCATATAGCCATATAGCCAAGATCACGCTGCGGCGGCGCCAACTGTTGCGTAAAATTCAAGAACACGGCTGTCCCCAAAATGGTGCCACATGCCCACCGAATTGCGAATTATATAACAGCCAGATCGCTTATGGGCAGTCGGATATCAGCTGGCGGCAAAAGGAGCCCAAACGGGATCAAGGGCGTCGAGAACTTCGATTTGGGAATTGGGACTCCAAGGTTCCCGACGCAAACTGACCCTGGACATTGAAAGAATCTTTGACAGACATAAAATGCATCATTAGCGATATGAATGTCGTATAAGGCATTGGCCTTTCATCAGTTTAGGTCATCCTGTTGTCATATATTCTCTGTTTTCTCCTATTAAAATTAAATGAAAATAAATACAGAATCAATTGTAATTAAATACAATACGTATACATTTAAAAATCATAAAATGATTACAATGTTATGGAATACTATAGCATCATAATAAAATTGCTGAAAACATTTGCAAAACTTATTAAAGGTTTGAAATCTTTAACAATTATATTTATTACTATCCCAAACCATATTCCTTGAAAAACACCTCACACTCACGAGTCTTTTATGTCATTTCATAATATGTGGTTTATTAATAAATTATTTTATTTAAATTAATTTTGTCAGTTTTCATTTTTGAATATTTATAATATTTTTGTTTGCTTCTTTGTTTGCCTTCTTTCGTTTAAACCAAATGTGTCCTTCGCTTAATAATATTATAATAATCATATTAATAATAATAATAAACTACTAAAGTGTTTTACATGGCAACATTTAATTTCATTTCGTTTCGATTCGTTTCGTTTCGTCTCGTTTTGGTTGCACTGGATTGGATGGGAAATAAGGTCCTAACGATCGGAAGGATCAGCTTTAACTGATTAAGGGAACTGAATAGCAAGCAAAAGTGTACTTCTCTTAGATCTTTTTTCTATATGATGAAAGGGGGATTGGATTCCATTGCTCGAAAATGTTATACAATTGGTATGATTTATATATATATAATATATTTTTTATAATCTTTATACGCTGTTTATATATGGGTGTGTATTATACTATATAGTAATATAAGCATTTTGTGGAGATCACTCTGAGTGTGTGTGTGTTTTGCTTGCTTAAAAAAAACATCTGTTTTTGGGGGAGGAAAAATCATATATCACTAGCTCTTAAAAGACATGCGCTGCCAATAACAACAAGAATTGAGTATTATCTGCTCCGTCATTATCTTTACCGTTAATCGTTATTTTCTGGGGGGTAAGCACACATTTACATACTTACATACATACATACACAACAACTACGTTTAATAACCGATACAAATGTTAACAATTATGCGGCGGATCGATCGATATATATGCACTATATATCGCTTGAAGGTTTGTCTTTGGGAGGGGGCGGTGCAAATCAGCGGGGTTTTTGGGGGCGGGGCGGGGCATCTAGGCATTATCTCAAAGCGGGGACATCAGGCAGGTGGGACATTCATAGAACTTACATGGCAAAACATTATGTTCGTATAGTACTTTTCCAATTTCTCGTAATTTTAGCTCCTTAGCGTAATTAGTTTTTTTTTTTTGGATTGTTTATGGTTTTGGTTTACTTTTTGTGCCAAGCGTACACACACATATATATTCAATTTAAACATATACGTATTTAATTTGCATGTATATTTAAGTATAGCCTAATTTTCAGTTTTTTTTTTATTTCCATTTTTGCAAAAAGCAGCATAAACAACTTTTGTGATTTTCATTTTTCTTTTTTTGCTTTTGTATAAGTTTTCGATTATATTAAATATGTATATTTTTTGTTTGCATTACACTTAGCCGGCGCCTTTTTTGCCACGATATAGGTAGTATTATTATTAACTATATAGATCGATGATTTTCCAAGTTTCAATGGGTTCGACAGACAAAAAAATCAGAAGTTTCTTGTTTCAATTTTAATCATTTTCATATTTTAAGTGCAATTTTTTTCTTGGTTTTTTTTGTGGTTCGATATTACATACAAGTAAATACAGCTAAGGTTTAAGGGGGCGGGGGGCGTGGCAGGGGGCGGTAAAAGCTTGCCTTGACTATATAAAACTATGAGTGTGGGTGTGTATGTTTGTGTGTTTTTTTATGGTGGGGTGACAAAACGAAAATAACGCTTTGAACTGACTAGAGAACATCTAAATTTCGCCTAAAATTACGGTCGAAACATGCTAAACAATAATATATAATATATATTTGTGTATATATTTAGTTAAAAAAGGTATATAAAAGTCTTTGCATTGGAATCGTTAAACACATACAAGAAGGATAAAACCGATCCGCGAATTGAAGCCAAGCATTTGTCTAGGGTAAAAATTCAGATCTTCCTTTGCCGTACGCCATTCAAATATTCCTACGTTTTCCGGGACTCCATATTGAGTTGTAGATCAGCTAAGACTAAGGCTGTAATGGAGGGAGGCTGTTTTTTTTTTACTGTCTGTCTAACAAGCAAGCTCGGAAGAAAGCTTGTGCTAAGCTCGATGCTAGCCGAAATCAATCGCTGGATTGATCACCGTACTTCAGGGCGTGTGGGTAAAGTTATATAAAGTTATACATATGGCACTGGTAAATGCTGGAAGCTTCAATAGGCCTAAATCTCACTTTCACCAATGGCAGTGCAGCTCGACTGAGAGTGGGTGGTGTACATATAAATGTTTTGTTGTGCGGACTAGGATCGGGGATATGTCATATAGTAGAATACAGTGGGGGCACAAAGAAAGCCAGGAGGGGCAAACAATTGAGTCTAGTGCTAGTTCTATATGCTAATGATATTACAGGTCGAAATCAATAGGATTGTGATGTGTTCTTCGTGTATGCGTGTGGTTTTGCAGTCCTTAGATTGATAGAGAGCAACTCAAGTTTAAGTTTAATATTATGTACAGTGCGTTTGCGAGCTTAAGGGCCAGCCATTCATTCTTTAATACTATAGTCCTTAGGCAAAATCTTTTGATATTTCAGAATTTAGTTAATCTTTTGATATTAGAAAAAATTGGATCATATTGCGGAGACTTTTCGATCATATTCTAAGCCACAACTGCCTTATCGCTGCGAAACGCACTGCACTTTTAACACGTTATGTACAGTACAGTGCAATAAATGTCCAAAAGTCTTTTTTCAAGGACTACAAATTTAGTTTACAAACAATGCTTTCGTGCGTTTCATTTAGCTTTACAAAAAAATCATCAGATATAGATTGCTTAATTTCGTTTTACAATTGTTTGCTTTGTTTTCTTTGCTTTTGTTTATCGTTTCATTCAGCTTTGTTTTTGTTTCTCATTTCTTTTTTTTGGACGGAACAATTTACAACATATGATTATGAAACAATGAGAGAAACGAACATAATACTTAGATGGCCTCTAAAATATAAACTAATCGGATGAGACACTTATGCATAGATATAGATGTGGTTACAGATCTTACAAACAAAATTAAACAGACTTACAGAAAACGAAAGAAGACAAAATACGCGATTAGTGGCTACAAGTATGATTTGCTAATGGAATGAAGTAGCTTTTGGGTGCTATGATATATAAGTATCCGTATATCGATAAGGAAAACGAACAGATGCAGTTACATACATATATAGATACGTGTTGATCGGCTTAAAAGGATAGCGCGCGTGAGACACACAAGTGATGGATATATATAGATATATATCGTAATATATCTCTATTTAGATAGGAGTACGTTGGCCATTTTAGGCGGGGGAGGACTTGGCGTATCCTGGCGGCATTTGATTTATTCTTGCGTGTTATACAGTGTTTCTGTGTCTAATTTCGCTATTCAAAGTATGGCTTTTGAATTTGAAGTAATTTTGCACTTGTTCCTTTCCTCGTTGGTAATAAATACAATAATGATAATAATCATAAGACAAGATAATAATAATCGTAATAATAATAATGATAATAAATATGCACGTATGCTATAAATATGGTAAATTTGTTATATAAAGCTTGGATCGCTCGGTAATATCATATAATATTTGGTTACACATTTCCCCATACTATTTTGTGATTCGGTTCGGTTCGTTTCGTTTTAGGGTTCTGCTTCTGCTCTGCTTTTAGCTTCCTTTTCAATGCAATCGATCAAATAAAGCTCATAAGCGTCTATATATTATTTGTGTTGTGTTTTTGTGTGTTTCTTTTCTAGTTAAGATTTATGATTGGTATTAGGTATTAGGCTTCAATTACCAACTTATAAAGCGACGTTTTCTGTTCAAGTTACCGTTTTCCGTTAGATAATGTAGCATTTTGGGTTATCTTTTCGATTTTCTTTAAATTTAGCGCGCGCTATATAATCATAAATATATATATATATATATTTGTATATAGCATGTATATATTATTCAGTTTTTAATTACTAGCGACTTTTGGGAGCGGTGCCCGGCACATTTTGGAAACTCTCCTCTTTTTCTCTATTTCTCTCTGTCGCTGTCTCCCTCACATTCACATTCACGTTCACTCTATTGCTATCTCAATTTCTCTGGCGCACACACACGCACACAAAACTTACTCACACACACACACACAGACAGACAGACAGACACCTCAGAGAGAAGATATAGGATATGCAAGATCGGGCCGAGATCGTGTGAATATATAGAGAATTAGGTTCGAATCAGACGGATGGGACATGCGCGTGTGTGAAGCGAAGAGAATGGGAAAAAATGTATGGATTAAGCTATGCTTTAGATGGCTGATCCTTAACTAACACCATAGTACTTATGCAGATACTGATACAGATACAGTTACAGTTACAGAGATATAGATAGTTGTATACTATATATGGTTGCCCGTCGATTCCGATTGTGTCAGGCACGCGCTCCTCGAGATACACTTGGATTATCTCCACGTTTACATATGCCTATAGGTGTATGCATTAATATGAACTTAGCCTAGCAATAAATATGTTTCTCCTTCGACTTGTATCCTTTTCCTTGCCTATTTGCCTTATCGGTTAACGATTTCGGTTCCGATTCCGGATTTCCAACTCGTCGACCACAGCATGGATTGTTTTTGGATTGGGTGGAGCAGCGGCATAAAGGTTTTCTTCTTTTTTCTTTAGAGTACTGGGGGTATTGCTAGAATTGCGTTTAGATCTGTGCCAGGTTGACGTCTAGAACTGCCTGCTCTCGATGTCCAACGCTCCATCGTAGGCATCGAATGCTTCAGCAGATTCCTCAGCTTCTCCATCGGCCAGGGTCAATAATGTTGGCTTGGTTGCTGCGGTGATTCCCGTGGCCGTTGTTACTCCGGCGACCAGCTCGTCGAGCAGCTGCATCTGCTTGCGAGTGGGCGAGGTCAGGGGCGTGGCAACCGTCTGATATCGGTGATGGAACGTGGACAATATCTCGCGAATTTTAGCAATGATCTCCTGTACTCAGGCATTTGACTCCTGGGGGATAGAAATGGTCGATTAGAATTGCAAGTTATAACATGGAAATTCATTTAAAATTATAAATGTAAGACGTGAATTCTTCAGAATATATACTATTATCAGAGCAGTTATATAACAAGAAATATCTATATCCACTTAATTTACCTACCTTTAGGTTGTCAAAGTAGTGCATGATCTGCTCGTAGTCCATGTCGAGATCGTCCAGTCCAAGACGCTCGCCGGGGGCAACGGACTCATCCACGGTGGCCGAGAACATCGGATTGCCCACCACGGTGGCGCGCTTGACACGCGACGATTTCGTGGTGGGCTCCTGGCTGACGGCGCTGGGTGGCAGCCGCATGATCTCGTCCGTTCCGTTTGAATTGGCCGCATCTCCAGTGCTGCTGGCCATGCTGTGGATTTCTGTCGACACCAAGAAATCGTTAGGAGGTCCCCTACGCATGGTTAAATGGTTCTCAGATATAAACCTACCCTTAGCTTTGCCCTGGACGATTGCTGCTGTGGACGGCGTGGCCGGCGAGGACGCGGCTGCTTTGGTAACTCTCTTTGGTGTCAGCGAATCGAACTGAAACGCGTTCTTCTGGTGCGGATTCGTGTACTCCACCAGCTTCTCAGCGTTGTGCAGCTCCTCGTGTTGCTGCTGCTGCTGTTGTTGCTGCTGCTTGATCTTGTTGTGTGCCGCCTTGATAAGTGGCTCCTGGCTGAAATTGTGACTGTGGCTATGGCTGCGCTGATGCTGGTGCGGATGGACATGGGCATGGGCCAGCGGATGAGGACGTTCGGGAGGCGGCTGCTGCTGATTCGACTGCTGTGCCGGCTGTTGGTTGGCATTGTTGTCACTGCCCTGCAAATGTTCACGTTTGTAGAGCTGGCTGTGCCGCTTGTTGGGCGCATCCTGTACAATATAAACGAACAAGTTAAATATATAAATCAAGTGTTTTTGTCCTTTTAATCTTACCTTTATGGATCCTGAGCCGGGAACAGGCTGAACCGGCAGACAGGCCCGGGCACCCACATTCCTATGGGGCGGTACTGGCGGCTTGTAGTCCAAGGCATTGTCCTTGCGCTCGTTGGCCAGATAGCTGAAAGAGATATCCCCAGATTAAAACCGGCTGAAGCGGAATCCTTCTAAACACAATACTCACTGGTCGGCGTGCTGCTTGTTCAGATTGGAGGCCGGCACAATGTGCGTCTGTAGCTTGGGCTGCTGGTCAAAGGAGCTCACTCGTCGTCCATTGTCGTAATTGACAATGGGATTGCTGGTGATGCGCATGCGGGAATCTACTTATCAAAGGATTCGGATTAAGTATGTAAAAAGCTTAGAAAAAAAAACCAAATATTACCGCGTGGATTCAAATGTGTGTTGGTCTCAGCCACAATGGACTGGCGGTCGATGGTGGAGCGTCCCAGCCAGACCCAATCGTGGGCGTTCGTCGTCGACTCCTTTAAACGCACGTCCCGGAAGCCACCCGATCCTCCCGAGCCATTGCCCTTGCCCACCGACAGAGGATCCAATCCAGATTCGATCATCGCTGGCCGGAATTTCGAGGCGTACACCACGCAAGAGATCACAAACACAATAATGGCGAAGCAGAAGGCAGTGAGCAGGACGTACATGCCTAGTTCCATGGAGGACATGTTGCCAGTGCCAGCGAGGCCTTTGCCATGATGGCCCTTGTGGACCGCCTGGATACTGCCGCGATGCTGACGCGCCTGAACAGTAGGTTCATACAGCTGGCTGGAGTCGCGCAACGGGATGCCAACTAAAAATGGGTTAAGGAAAGGATGAGTATGAGATGGACATGCATAACCAAATCTACACGCACCTATTATATCAGCCAGATCCCCTGTCTGCCTGTAGTTCTTCCTTTCCCTGCCCACAGTGCCATCATTCTGGATTGCTTCCTGCTTGCTCACGATGTCCACATTGTTGAAATCCACTTCGATGGACGCCAATGCACTGGCCAGCGGCGCTGCATTCGATTTGTTCTGTTTGGAGCTGCTCAAGGTGCCGCGTCTTTGGCGACACTCCTCGGACAGCAGAAGGGTCACGCGCAGCAGGTTTCCATTGCCCTCGCCCACGGCTATTACGCGCGGATGATGGGAGGCCAGCATGGGAGCAAAGGCCACCACCTCGGTGTCCAGACTCTCCACCAGCAGGAAATAGTCCTCCACGGCAATGTCACTGCAATAATAAGCAAGTTTTGACATTAAAATACTGATTTTCGAAAGGATTTTTGCATGTTTGTTATCATATATTATAAATAAAAACATGTCTTTCGTTGGTGTGTGTAATACTTCCAAAATACATAAAGTTTGCTTACCGCAACGGAGTCTTGGAGCCATCGGAGAACTCCAGATCGATGTCAAGCAGTCCCTCCTGATATTGAGCAGTCAGCTTGTGGGTGACGGAGGTCTCCGCCAGGTAGCCGTTCTCAATCGTGTTGTCCGGACTGATGGTGAGCTGCAGGCCCGAAATGACGCGCACAATGAGCTTAGAGAGGTTCACCTTGTCACTGCCCACACGGATTTCCTTGGTGCCGATTACACGACCCGTAATGGGCGACAAAACCTGCACATCCGTGCGTCCCATTGACTTGCCCTGCAGGATGCGACCTTTGAGCGAGGCAATCTTGGGATCAGCCACTCGGAGCAGCGGCTGTACCAGATCCGTGACCCTTAAGCCTGTTCGCCTTGAAATAAAGTAGCTGGTGCGACCAGAGTTCTGTGTAGAATGAGAAGAACCAAAGGGTTATCTATTGTGGCTTTTAAAGTTTTCAACAAGGACTCACCTGATCCACTGCCAAGAATTTGGCATACACTTCCACGGGACTCTGCTGATAACGAGCCCGACAAATCGTCTTGTCTGCTCCAAGATTATTGTAGTAGTTGGTTTGATGCTGGCCCCACACGTAGGACCTCTTCTTTCTCCGTCGCGATTGCTTATTGTGTCTGCAACATGGAAAAACAGAAAGATAAGTACATCTGTAGATATAATTGAATCTATAAGATAACTTAAAAAATACACATACACTTACTTACAAAAATTTATTGATTATTAAGCAATCAGAATTTTCACTATTTCATTTTATTTGATTGTTAATATTTAGTGATATATGTATTTGCATATTACCCGAATACTTATACTGAAATTAAAAATAAAGCCACTAAACAAAATAATAAATAAATTTAAATCACTAATTGTTAACGACTTTTCGACAGTTAACTCTTTAGGTTTTTATTGCTAATATTATTATTGGAAATTCATATAAATGGAGATCCAAGCTGTAATTGCTGTGTGTCGAATGAAACTGAATTTCCACACGAATGATTTCTATGGTGAGGTAATACCTTCGGACTATTATTGCTAGTGCATATTTTAGTTTCCAAATTGAGCAAATTTTAATGAGCCATAATTTTTAGTTTGTTAATTTACAATGCATAAACAATTTCGGGAAATAATGAAAGCCATAAAAATAATGCCAAAAATATAGTATATGTATAAGTCCCAAGACGTATAAGTCATTCAAAAAAAATAAATAAATCGCGCCTATGTCTTGCTAAGGAAAACAATACTCACAGATAGTGATTGTCATCGGTTACTTTCCATCCTTTGATCTGGGAGAGACGGAAATCGGATATGTACACCTCCAGCGGGAATTCGGGCATCCAAACGATGAACTTGGCCACGCCCATATAGGTACCGTACTTGACGATAACGGAGGCATTGGAGGAGCCGCGCTGCTCGGAACCATCCACATAAACCGAGCTGCAGGAGGAGGAAACCTGCAAGAAGTTGATTGGTTATTTATCCGTCGATTAGGTTATTGTTTCCAATCCCAAACGCACCTTGATCACACTTTCATCCTCGGCGTGACATGAGCTCTGGAGCGTCACATCGGCCACCTTGCCCGCCTGCGAAACGATGAAGACCTTCATGGCCTGGGCCACCTGTCTGCCCGTCAGCACCGCCGTGTTCATCACCTCCCAGATCTTGGCCATCGGCAGCACCGCCTGAATGTCATCCTTGTTGATCTCCAGCTTGGCAATCAGCCGCTTCTTGTTGTCATCGGGTATTACTAGTTCCCCGGAGTCCTTGTCCTTGGGCGTGTCATAGACATGGGTCACGGACCACACAATCTTGCCCCCGTCCACAATGTCATTGGTGTCCTCGGCCACCTCGAGCAGCCACGAGAACACCTCGAAGACCTCGCTGGTCAGGTTGCCTCCGGATTCCAGACTAGATTCAGTCTCTTTGCGGAAAGCGGTCACGCGTGCGGTGGTGTGCTTGGGGTTCTCCTTCTCCACCGAGACGCTCCACAGATCCGTGGAGGCGGTGGCGCCCAGTATCCGCAGTCCCGCCTTGACACGGGCTCTCACCGTAAAGGCAGCCACCCGCTGATCGGTGTACTGGTGCAGGAACACGGGAACATGGAGGCGGGACAGTGGATACAAAGGGTGTTGTGGCAGCAGGAAGGTCACGGAATCATCGGCGCGTAGCATGCGATAGGGCGTCCTGGCGGGCAGCAGGGGCACCTGGGCGAAAGTGGTCAGCGGCTGGATCTGAACTTTGGGTTCACACTGCTCGGGGTTCCTTAGAGGTGGCTCAAACACACTGTAGGACACCTGAGCGTAGCGTTGTGGCACCTTGGGTGGCGCCTGGCCACTGCCATCTTGTGTGGGCGCCGGGAGCTGTGGAAACCAGCCGAGTGGGATCACCACCTCGGCCACGCACACTCCATCCTCGCCCTCCGGCATGCAGCGCCCCTTGAGGGGCTGTTCCGAGCCCATGGCCACGTGCAGGAGTACGCAGACCTTTTGGCGCTGCAAATGACCACCAGGATCGGCTCCGGCATGGAAGAGCACCCGTAGCACAGGAGCATCCTGCGAGACGGTGGAGCGCACCAAATGGGCCGATATGTCCAGGTGCATGTTGGGCTGCTGCAGCTCGAGAAGCGTGGCATTCTGTGGGTAGGCGAAGTATAATGAAATGGGGGTAATTTCTGGACTGAATTCGGGACTACTCACGTTCATGTAATCCCCCGACTGGCTGTCCATCGTGTCCGGCACAATGTAGCGGGCTGGCACTGTCTGCTTGGTGGAGAAGGGTCCGTAGCTGGCGCGTATGGACACTGGCTGGGTGGTCTCCACCACCGTGAAACGGTCCAGGGATAACACGGAATCGTAGGAGGATCTTTGTCGGAGTGGCGGCACCGCCGAGGATGTCTGCACATTGGCGATCTCCGGCGTCACAGGTGGTTGGCGGGCGTGCTTCAGGAAGAAGCCGCTGTCCGGCGCCTCGAAGTGCACCTCCACGGAGTCTGGCGGGGATTATGTGGGGGTTTTCCGAGGGTTTTGGGGTAAATAAATGATGGAATTAGTTAGTTTGTGGTGGGTAAGAGTGGACTGGAGAGTATTTTTAAGGCGGGGGCCACCTGCTCCTCCTCTTTCACTTCTCCTCCTCCTTTTCATTTTCCACCCCCCCACTTTGTTTTTATTTTTCCTTTATTACTTACATGCCAACGACAGCTGCAATGCAATTATCAGCCAGTATCTCATCATCTTGTCAATGTGCAGGAATCCAAAATATATGGAGGAGGGTCCTGAAAATCCTGTGGCCACCCACTCGCTAATTTGCTAATTAACACTCGTTTGTTTTTTCAAATGTTCTCTCGTTGGGCTTTGTTTAACCGTTATTCGTGCCAAAAGTTAACTGTAATTCGCTTTGGCAAGCACTTTTCGTCCTTTTTTCTCGTTCAGCAATCCGCAGCACATCCTTTATTGATTCTTTCCAGTGTGCCCACACACACACTTACACACACTCACACCCACACGCACACAGCCAGAGGCCACCTCGCACACAGATACACAGATATGTGGTATAGACACATCTTCTCCTGCAAATCGCAGTTCGAATTTAATTGGATTGGGATTGTGATTGTGTCGAATTTCACTCGACTCGATTTTCACGCGCTGGCAGGTAGCTGCTGTGCTGGGAAATCCTTCTATTGACGCCCTAATGCATGGCTCTTTTCATTCAGGTCTCAGAATTTCCACAAAATATCGAACATTTCCAAACACCTTCCTTCGACCAGTGTTGCCAGATCGCGCGTTTCGAAATGTACTAAAGACAATGGTTTCCCAAGAAAAACAAATACAAAATACCGAATTTCCATCAAACTCTGATAAGAGCGCGGGCCATTCAAATTTAGTCCAGGAAATTGTGCCCATGAATGTGGTTGATGGTTGTACAATAAGTTTGGATCTAGGTATACCTGTTTATTTATGCTCTAACTAAATCTTCTTACTATAACTTACTTAAAATATCAGTATGCTTAATGGAAAATACTTTAATGTTGGGGGTCATGGCATAATTACGACTGGAATATATCACTTACCTTCGTTGAAATGATGATAAGGCCCAAGTCCTTATGACCGCACTGTTTAAATATCAAATATTTAAATCTTAATACAAAAGCTATGAATAAATGTAAGTGGTTAAGGTTGTCTTACATTTGATCCATCTCGGTAGTTTTAACATATCTACTTGAACGGAAATATTACTTTAGGTAAAGTTTTATTAAAATGTTCATCCTTGGAACAATTTTGATAAAATATTTTCTGCCAGTGTTTTGACAAACAATTTTTAAATTTGAAATGCGCGCCCAGTCACTCTCAATTTTGCCACAGAATACTAGGACTGAAAAACGGTCATACTAAGCACTTTCCGTTAGCAATTACACTCTCCACACTTAGCGATTACATGTTCCACTTTTAGCGGATACACACTCCGCAGTTAGCGAATACAACCACAACCAGTTCAATTCACCTTAGAGGTGGAAAAACATCGATAACACTCTGCCAACCACCGATATTACCTAAAAACATCGATGACGACGAAGTTCCACCTCTACTTTGAACATAAAACGTTTTTATAAAAGACATAAGTGCAGCTGCTCTAAAGTTGCATTAACGAAACTTGGAAAGTATTAAACACTCGACATTCGGCAGCTGTGAGTATGAATCAAATCAATCGGAATCAAATGGAGGATACGAAAACAGCAAAAACTCAAAGGGCGCTGCCCTTTGTGGGTGTGCGTGTTTGAGTGTGTGTATGAGTCAGTGTCGGCAGCGCGCAAAAGAAAACAATTGTTTTAGTGGTAAAAAAAAACATTGGAATGTGCATATTAAAGTGATAAATCAACACATTCACAAACATTTGGCATATCTTGAGTTTTCAAGTAGAATTGGGGGCTTCAGTCACTGTTTTTTTCAAGCCTTTTAAGGCCTTTAATTGAAACTGCGTATGCGTGTTTGTGTGAGAATGTTTTCAATGAGCCAAATTGTGTGAGTGTTGTTTTTGTAAACCGCAGTTCAGCAGCATTGATAAACACCCATACAAATAAAGAAATAAGCGGAGAGAGAGCAAAACTCCCATACGTGTCATTTTCATTTGCGCGAGTGACTCACAAAAGCTGCGCATGTGTGCGTGCATGAGTCGCGCACAGTTAACACTCGATAAGGTGAACGGATTCACGATTCCCTTGAGTCCCAGCATTTAATTGAATACCTTTCTTTACACACAACTATCATTGAAAACAACAAAGTTATAGCCATGATTTTATTCAGAATCAGAATGCCGCAATGAAATAGTTAAACCAATCGAATAAACTCAACTTAGCCTCTCCATTGAATCACCAAAACGAGCGTCTACTGCATGTTGACACAGTTTGTTTGGGGAGCAATGAAAATCGGTTTCAGCGGAATTCGCTGCAATATGTCTATATATAGCCATAAATACACACCCGGTCAACGAAATGCTAATGTGAGTCGTCGCTTTTTTCGACTTTCAGATCCACGCCGCACACACATCACTCCAGCGCGATTCCACTAGCTTCGCCGGCTCCATATAGCTCCATTTAGCCTAACTAGATCCACCATCCAATAGCCATCATGTCATCCCGCAAGACCGCCGGACGTCGCGCCACCACCAAGAAACGCGCCCAGCGTGCCACCTCCAATGTGTTCGCCATGTTCGATCAGGCGCAGATCGCCGAGTTCAAGGAGGCCTTCAACATGATCGACCAGAACAGGGATGGCTTCGTCGAGAAGGAGGATCTCCACGACATGCTGGCCTCGCTGGGCAAGAACCCGACGGACGACTACCTCGATGGCATGATGAACGAGGCGCCCGGTCCCATCAACTTCACCATGTTCCTCACGCTCTTCGGGGAGCGACTACAGGGCACCGATCCCGAGGATGTGATTAAGAACGCCTTCGGCTGCTTCGACGAGGAGAACATGGGCGTGTTGCCCGAGGATCGGCTGAGGGAGCTGCTGACCACCATGGGCGATCGGTTCTCAGATGAGGATGTAAGTTATTTTAATAATTAGTTCCTTATTATATTCCAAAATGTATAACTAACCGCTTGGTAGCTATTTCCCACTTCCTTTTAAGTTGAATCATTAATAGTTGCCATTTATTATTGAGTATTTTAATTATAAATTGGCTTCTACAAATCTTAAATCATCATCATCTTATTTATGGTAGTGCTAACTTACTTAGTTATTTAGTGCAAATCATTTGTGTTCACCTAATAAGTAATAATTGACATTTATATGCTATGCCAAACCAGTTTTCATGGTGAGAACGTTGAAGCTGTGAAAAAGTATGGCTTTAAATGTAATATTAAGATTGGTTGTCCCTAAGTGTGTTTTGGTCTTTCTAATACAACATTTCCCCTTTATTTCCTCAGGTGGACGAGATGTATCGCGAGGCGCCCATAAAGAATGGTCTGTTCGACTATCTGGAGTTCACGCGTATCCTCAAGCACGGTGCCAAGGACAAGGATGAGCAGTAAGATCGCCAGAGTTCGATCAACAAGCCAGCTGCCTCTCCAATCAGCCTGTCCATCATGAGTTTCGTTTTGATAATTTAATATATATATTTTTTTTGCTCTCGCGCCCTATTTTCTTTGATTCCTGATATTCCTGTACTTACCTGTGCATTTAAATTAAACAAAAAGTAGTAAACACAAGCGAATGTTATGTACGATATTGTAGTGTGTGAAGTTGGAGCCCGATAACACGATTTCCCCGAAAAAATCCCTTTCATAAGTATTAACTCATTGAATATACATATATATTACCTATATACAAATACATACTTATACAAGAATGTGGCAATAAAAGTTTGTTTTTCTTACACTCGAACGTGCGCTGTCTGACTAAATTAGTTGTCTGCAGAAATCCTTCACCCAAAAACAACTGATCAAACAATACAAACTTTGGAATAACCCCGCACTGCAAAATAACAGCATGGTTGTTTGGTCTTGACTTTACACAATTATCTTTGGACGTTGGTTCATGAGTATTCTCCCGATCGGAACAGCTAATAAACTCGAAAGACCCGAAAACTTCTTATCTTATGTCTTGGATTCAAAGATGATTGAGTCACTTATTTATTTCTGAAACTGAAGTCAAAGCAATAGAAAACACGCGTAACCGTTTTATCTTTGGGATAAACAGAATCATTAATTGATTTAAGCATATCTTGAAATTTAAGTTTGAGAGAATCTTTCCCTTAAAAACTAATTTTGATTAAATAACACAATTTACTTTCCCCGAATAGTCCTTTGTTTCCCTTTTCTTTTAGATATTGCCAACCAAAAATCAATTGTTTAATTTTACTTTTAAAGAATTTATTTAAAAAATCAATAATGTAGATGGCTTAAAGCTCGAAGCTCCTGACTTTGTATATTTAAAACTTTTGGACAATTTATTCATATAAAAAAAACAGTAGAAAATATTTAAAGATACGCATAAAAGCACACTTTGCGATGAACAAGAAATACAAACAGACAAAGAGGCGTCTAAACACTAAGCGTATTCCGAATATCAATGTATTCTATGTACAAACAAGGCGCTAGAACTACAAATTAATAGGTAATGGCCTCTGCAGCAGGATGATCCAACACAGCCCTCGAAGATTACTCCACTTTCTTGGCCAGCGGAGCGGCATCGGAACGGCCCTTCCCGCTATACCTTGCCCGATAGGCGTCTTTCACTTGGTTTATCACATTGGCGAACAGTATTGTGCCGAGGAAGACCAGGATGGTGCCCACCCAATGGTTCACGGTGAAGGGATTCCGGAAATAGATGATGGAGAACATCAGCGAAACGAACTTGCGCAGGGTGACCACCAAGGTGACGGTGAGCGAGGCACATTCGGTGGTCAGGAGATAGACGGCGCTGATGCAGACATACTGGGTGACCACGTTGCACAAAAGGTAGAACAGCATCAGCGGGAACTTCCACTCCAGGCCAATTGCTCCGAGTAGGGGAACGGCCACCGGTTCCGAAGACCATGCAATGCCAAAGTGCTGGACTATGTTCCCCGCCATAATCAGGAATCCTGGCAGGGGCAGCATGTGCGTATAGAACAGCGCCTCGCTGGGATGTTTGCCGTACTTCTTGTAGATCACCTCCTGGTAGATGCCCATATACGCCGTGACCAGCAGGGCGATCGTCAGCAAGCCAATGCCCACCGACCACCAGAAGAAGTCCGAGTAGGAAGTCTCCACCTTGAGGCTGTGATGTGTATTATCCTTGACATCGCCGCTGGAAACCAGCGTGCACAGAATAATGCCTACTGTGATCATGGCCACCGAGCTGTACTGCCGAAGGTTATAGCGCTTCTTTAACAGCACAATGCCCATGATCATGTTGGCCATCAGTGATCCGCTGCGGAAGATCATGTGCAGCGGCATGGGTATATTGAAGTTAAACGCATAGTTGTTGCACACATTCGACCCAAAGAACAGGGCCACCAGGATGACGTAGTCCTTCAGCGCAATTTTCGGACGCACCGTAAAGAACTTGGATGTGAATACTAGGCCCTCCAGCGCGATGAACAGGAACTGGGCGAATGTGATCAGGTTTCCGGCGCCCGGATCGATTTGGATTATCAGCTCCAGGAACACCACGTTGCTGCAACATCCGATGAACACGAACAGCATGCCCAGAAGGGCCTTCAGATTTACAGCCATATCTGAAAGGTAAAATGGAAGGTTAAGATATATCGCATTAACATTGATAGAATTTGAAGTAGAAGGGGTAATACTGGGAGCCACTACAGAACAAGTGCAAAAAAAAACCAACACTATGTTTATTCCATTTTGATGTGAAGGTGTTTTTGTTATTTTATTTTATCTAGCATGTAAAACATTCTGTGCTATCGGTTATTCTGCTCAGGTAGAACACAATAAGTGAATTTCGTGAAATTAATCAGTTCACAAAAGATTGTTGTCATCATGGCATAACAATTTGCGTGTCTGGAACTTTGTTCCGATTATGTAAATAGAATTAAAAGATCAAGAGCTGCTAATTAGATCTGTTTTAATATTTTTCAGAGCACTCTGTTAAAAAACCTCTTGTTTACATTTTGACGTTGGTTTTTATTCACCATTTACTGTTCTTGTCTAGGAATTCAGGTTATTAACTGATAAAATTAACCTTTTAGTTTGACTGGTCAAAAGTCTTGACTGTGGTGAAATTAAATCGTTTGATCCGTGCTTAGCGCATCATGATACGAAAATTAAATCAAACTCAATAACCTAAATACATAAACTTTATTATTGTTATTCTTTGCAAATTGGGAATGCTTGTGAGTGCCAATTATGTATATGTGAAGTTTGAAAATATATTATTAAGTCTATTCAATTAAAATTGTCAAAATTTTAAAATTTGTAATTTAACTATTGTTTTTTATATCACAAAAAGCTACTGATAAGATCATGAACACAACCATAGTATCTAGTTCTAGCGCAGTTCTAAAGCTGACCGGGCAGTCAGCGTTATTCGGCAAATCGACCGATTGTCACGTTGCCGATAAGAAATACGCGGTAATCATAGTCCGTATCACTTACCTTCGCAATGAGAGATATTCTATTCCGCGGGAGATATTCCAGATTATCGTAATCCGGTTTGTTGGCGGATCTCGATTGGTTTTGTTTCACTGTCAAGATATACATATGTAGTAATCAAGATTGATTATATCAGTTGTTAGTTAAATAAGCACGCAAGCCCACACGTACGGGTTAACAGAATGTCCACACAAGTGCATATGGGTTAATACAATGTTCACCAAAAACAACTAACCTGCTAATTAATAATCTCTCTCTGTTCCGCTCTTTCTCATTCTGCAGCGACCTTCACTGTTTTTTTTATGTCTTTCTAGGTGCTCTCCTTGAAATGGTATTTACCGTACGTTGGGCGCATTTGAACTGCGGCTTTTATTCTTCGGTAGCTCGCAAATGGTTGTTAAAAAATTAATTACAAGCTGGTTATATTGTTGTAGTAACTATCTATGTTGTTGTTCTACTAGTACTGTTGATGCGGGAAGCGTGAGACAACAGCTGAACTTGACTGGCGCAGTGTGGCCAGTTGCTGGGTGGCCACAAAATGCCGAGAGTTCGGCAGCTTTAAGCTCAAGCCGATGTCGATTGTCTACCAATCGGTATCGTTTTTGAATATTGCAATTAAAGCCGCCCAAATTTATAATTAAAATTTTTTATAATTTTAATGTTATATTTGGTTGGAAATTTATTTAATTTTCAATAAAAGATTACATTTTATCTTAAGAAATTGACAAAAGAATTAACAGAGTAAAGCTTACAAAGGTTATAGTAGGCTGATGAAATAGCACCATAATCTCGAATTTTTTACGAAGATTTATCAAATGTTTACTTGGTTAATTAAGATTATACCTTATTAAATTGCTATCTCATTATAAATTGTTCGTCCCGCGAACATTTAAAAAAAGGAGTCATTAACCCGTTGATGATTGGTGTTTATTATTCGTTTGTTTGATATGAGAAATAATCAGAGGTCTTATCGGCTGAGAAATCTGTTCATAGCTGCCAGCTCAGTGCCCTCGTAAAATAATTAGTATATATGGAAGATAAAAGGATTGCGTTTTTGGCCCTGCCCGTAATGCATAGTCTTCGTTTTTGGCCAAGATCGCGATTGCTTGCTAGTTGGATTTTGGCCACGGTCCCATCATGAAGGCCGTTCAATTGGGTTTTCTGCTTCTGGTTGTGTTTTGCACTAGTTCTCAGCAGGTAAATAGATTTAGGATAAGCAAATGCATTTTTGTACATAAGAAGTTGCAATTTTGTTTAATTTAACAGGCACTTTGATTAAAAATTAATGTCAACTATATTCATTGTTGGTTAATTGTTATTGTATATATAGTATAAAAGAAATATTAATTTTAAAGACGGCCATCAAGTCGTATACTTGATTGTCAATCTCTGTAGAATAGTTGTTGATAAAGCATCTTTTTTTTTTGATAAACGTCGTTAACGTTGTTTTGGAAAATCTATATAATTAGTACTAAACATGATATACATATAAAGTTTTTTGTTAACTTTATATTTTGTATAAAGTTATTTTGGAAAATATTTCGTCATTGGTAGCTGTTCGCCTAGTCGTATACGTAATTTTTTGGAGTTTTTACAGATTCCTTCTTGTTGATAAATGCATGCAATTATTTATTTAATTTGACAGTTTTTGAAATGTAGTAATGCTGACAATTGCGGCATAAAATACATTTAAAAAAGGTATATAGACTCGCGTGTAATATATATTTTCCCCGCAGCTTTCGAAGCCTGGTGACCCCACTTACATGGCAGCGGTGGTGGAACACAAGGAGGCGGAGGGCAGTAGTGCCAGGCAACGGGCCAGTTTCGCATCGGCATCATTCCAAAAGCTCATCAAAGATGCCGGCGATGTGGACATCATTGTGTTCCCCGAGCATATCCTTAATAGTCGGGATACAGCCACCTTTGTGCCCCATGAATCCGAGAATGTAACGCCCTGCTACCAGACAGACTACGAGCTCTTCCTCATCGAATTGTCCTGCTCGGCTCGATCAAATGGCCTCTATGTGGTCATAAATGTGGTGGAGAAGGAACTATGCGCCAATGGCGTAGGCTCTGATGCCCTCACTCCATGTCCTGCGACGGGAGTTCGGTATTTCAACACCAATGTGGTGTTTGATCGAAGGGGAAAGGTGATCTCGAGGTATAGGAAAAGCCATCTGTGGCGTCACGAATACGTGGAAATATCGGTGCTCCGTACTCCCGATTTATCCACATTTACCACCGATTTTAACGTAACCTTTGGCCACTTCATCTGCTTCGATATGTTGTTCTATGACCCAGCTGTGAAATTGGTAAGTGAGCTCAAGGTCACGGATATTGTATATCCCACCTATTGGTTCTCGGAACTGCCGTTCCTGGGTGCTGTTCAACTTCAAGAGGGCTGGGCATTTGGTAATGACGTCAATCTACTGGCCGCCGATGCCAGTCAGCCCGATGGACGCACCACGGGATCTGGGATATATGCCGGTCGGGGAGGACGACTTGTGGCGGAGATTTTCGAGGAGCCCACCACAAAACTGCTCATATCGGAGGTTCCGAAAAAGGAGTTTGGTCAACTGAAACCCACATTCTCTCCTCTATTCACCCCTGAACTGAAAACCCAACGAGTGACGGGAGTGGCCACCTTTAAGGACTACAATGTGGATATATTTGAAAGTGAGCTGCTTGAGGATGATTTCCTGAATGTGGAGAGGAAGTTGTGTCATAACAGCTTCTGCTGCTCCTTCTCAATCGCCAGAAAGGTGACCACCTCCAGTGAGGTGACCTCCATTGATGCCAAATCGTATCGCTATAGAATTGCCGCCTATTGGGGCAATGAGACCACCGTGATCCGAGTGGATCGTACGGAGCAGGCCACTTGTGCGCTGTTTGCCTGCACGAATGAGGATATCACCAGCTGTGGCTATATATTCCCCGAATTCGAGGAAGTCATCAATAAGCACCACTTTACGGAGCTACACATTTCTGCCGATTTCCCAGCTGCTCCTCGTGGTCGTCGATTAATAATGCCCAGCACCTTAAATGCTCTTTTCCTGCCCGTTTCCGTATCGGAATTCGATTGGACGGAATCACCAGAGGCGTCTCCAAATCCAGATAAGCCCATATTGGTGGATATGAATCTATTGAAGGCGCAGAACGACCTGCTGACCTTTGCCATTTGGGCCAACTACTTCACGGATTTGCCAAGCAGCCACAATTTGGATCACCTGCACCCGAATTACACTGTTCCCTCGACTTCCGGATCGTCGGGGATTTTCATCCCCAGTATTTTATGTCTCTTTATCTGCCTGTTCCTCTTACTATAATATAATCACTTTTTTTTCAACCCATTGGAAATAATGCATTGTTTAATACATTTTTTGGCAGCCACAAATTGTTTAAGTCCCCAGTTAATTCTTAGACCCATCTATATCTTATATCTTTTTTATCTCCATCAAACTCGGTGACCCATAATATATTTTTAATGGTTTTGATTTTATTCTGCATAGATATGCACATTTCATAATTTGAATATGTTTATTTTGTTGCTTACGCACAAGGAAGTTAAGATAATAAAACCCATCTTCAGATAAACATCTTGGTTTTTATAATATTTGCTTGATAAGGCTTGATAACGAAATGTATTATGTCATGTTATAAAATAAAACAGCTGAATATTTGCAATACAAAAATTTGACCCACTGGCATTTTTGGCGAAAAAAAACGAATTTAAGTTGGTTCAGTTTTTAAATCTTTTTCCAGAAATCAAAATGTGCACAAAAATCAGCCATTTCCTTGGAAATGTCAGTTTCCTAGATTCAAGATGTTCACAACTTGGATTCGTAGAATTTTGCAAGATTATCTCTCTGATTTCCGTGCTTATAGTTTCTGAAGAACTGACCGTTACATTTGGTGGCATTCGTTAGTCTCCAAAAGGAGTCGGGCTGGATTTGAATGAAAGGAGCAACAGCACGCAACCACCCAATTCGTGGACCACCCAACTCGACGACCTTGTGGAGATTTGCTTCCAGCGCAGGCGCTTCAAGGCCCTCTGCCAGCGTTGTTTGCATTTCCAACAGGTAGCGACGTCGTCGTCGCCGTCGACGTCCATGCAACAGTGGCCGCCGTTTATAATGAGCCAAGGACGACGAAGAGGGGGGTGGTGGGGTGGTGTGGAGGTCCTGCGGGGGGCCAACCACGCACCCACCCACACACGCATCAATGACAGCGTGGCATCTTCAATGACAACAACGACGACTTCTCCGCGGGAGTATCCTGCTGGACAGGATTCACGCTGTGACTTTCCGTGCGATTTAACATCATTTGCTTGCTGATGTCCCAACCGCCTCAAAGCCCAGCCTACTGACCTTCCATCCTCCCAAAAAAAAGAAGGAAAATACAACTTCCAACCTGAAAAGGTGTCCAGCAACAAGGGTAAAAGTTTTCCCAAAAGAAAAAGGCTGCTCAAAAGTAAAAATGTCTGGAACACGTTGACATAATTGCGATAATACATTAAAAATAATAATACATAAGAAAAAAAAACGGAAATTAAGTAAATGAGTAAATTGTCTCTGTAAATAAAAATATATAGGTTGAAAATTTTGGACAAAGATGAAAAGTGAAACCGGACCGAAACCTTTTTGAATGAATTTGGTCAAACATCTTAAACTGCCTTTATTACAAATCAGCGACTTACATTAATTGATTATTTGCCATAATTTTACCAATTTCAGCCTTTTAAAAACTATTCGTTTTAATTAAAAAATAATCTGACATAATAATCTTACCAATTGCTTTTTAAACCCCCTACTAATCTGCACCCAAACTTATGTTTTTAGTTTATAGTCAGTTTTTCCGAGGTATTAATAGGTATTAATAACCTCTCGTGTTACAAAAAAAATATTATGAATAAATATATATTTAGTTTTTTATGTTGAATAAATGTACTTAATAAGCTGAAATAGGAAATTACAATGTGCTGAAGATAGATATGGGACTTTAGAATTTTTAATAGACATGTACCAAAAACTCCGCACTCCCCTCCTTGAAAAATACCCCCCATTTATTTGGAGCCTCCTCTCGCCTGGATTTTTTCATTAAGACCTCCCCTTCCTCGATTCGATTCCCAGGCCTTGGTAAACATTTTTTTTGTGCACAAAAATCAAAAACTTTGAGCTCTCTCCGCTTTTTTTTGCGGGGTGGCTGAGGGTGGTGCAAAGTGGTGCAGGGTGGTTACTCGGGTGGTGGGATGCTGTTGTGGCACCTGCCACTTGAAAATTCCACACGGCTTCTGTTTCATTTTGATTTATTTGCTGAAATTTATTGTTAAAGTGAATGGAGGCGCAAAGTTGCCAGCAAAAAAGGGGCGGGGCTGGGGGGTGGCTATGTATAACAGGTGGTGAAGTGTAGGTGAAGGCCGCCGTCGCGCCCATAAAATATCTGGCCGTGCGAGAGTGTACGGCTTCTTTTTCACCCGATTTCCTGTGGCTCAACTCCATCAATCGAGAGGTTAGGACGAGGAAGGATTCTCAATCAGAATCAGTTCCAGCCATTGACACACACACACACACAAGGGCACCACATTAGGAACTAACCACATTCGGAACTCGTAACCATTCTCATGCCCATTTTCCTGGCCACACAGCGAACAAAATCGCGGAATTTTACCATTGGAGGGATATATATATAGAGATATTCACATTGCTGGTTTTCCGATTTGATATCCATGTTTTATTTAGAAAGCCTAAATTAGAAAAATACTGGAAAGAATGAAATATGTACATATATGGATATATAATTTCAGAGACGCGAGTTCTTTAGTATATAGCCAATCACATACTATGCTTTTTGAATATCTTAGAAGGAAAAGTTTCTTTAACAACTCTTTAGGTTCAAATTTTCATTTTCACGATGTTTCAGCACTGTGCGAATTCTTAAATTCTAAATGTATAATATTTCTAAATAAATATAACATTTGTAAAGCTTTAAAATCTAATATTTTGATTTGATCCTGGTATTTTAAATAGTTTCGGTAGTGTTCATATTCCTGTTTAAAGTTTTTTTATTCGAATATATTTCATCATTGAAATTTTCTTAGTGTACAGTCCCCTTTTCTTACTTCCATCGTCGGTGGTTCAGTCGCTTCCCTGAGGTCTCGGGCAGAACTGATTGAATTGAATATCAGTTTTCAGCTGGCACAGTTACCCAGAATGCCACGCCCCTGCCGTCCAAGCTCCGCACCCTCCGCCTCCCCTTTTAGCCCTCAAGGTTCCTTTGGCGTTCTGGCTTGCCATTTGAATTTGAATGGAAATGATTTCACTTGATTTTCATATTTTTATTATCTTCCCTTCGGGCTCACCTGGCACACACACACACACACATCCACACATCAGGATTCATCTCCCCCTCTCAGTCGCTCATCGTATGGCCCTCTCTTTCGCACACCCGGTCGCCTTTTTGACTTTATTAAAATGAATTGTAAACATGGCCAAGGGGAAGTATTTTACCTTATTTACCCGGCTTACCTGGCCACAACTTTTGGTCGCTCGCAGAATGCAATTCTCTAATTGTCTTCAGATTTTGGCAAACATTTGAGGTTGCTAAGTGGGCCAACAAGCATTGCATTTCTCTGGGTAGTATTTTAAATCAATTCATTAGGATAATCAAATAAATATTTATTCAATTGTCGGTGGCATTAAAAAATGTTATGAAGTATGTTTAAATTTATTTCTGTTTTTATTTATTTAAAGTTATTACTTTCGTATACCAAATTGTTATACGTTCATAGAGACACCAAATTAACTACCAATTACCAAATATAATTTGTTATGTTATTATAATTATAATTTCTAATAATAATTTTTCAATAACTTTCTATTATAAGTTAAAACTACTTTAAAATTTGTTTATCAACTAAATGCCAATGCAAATAAAATGTTGGAAATATTATAATTATTGGCTTTACCCAATTATTTGTTGAACTCCATTTGCCGTGACCCCGCCATTGATTTGGGAGCACAAATTTTTTGGCCACTTGTCCACGAAGCCAGGAGCCAACCACCCTGCTCAGCTATATATATACTTTATACTATATATGTGTAAGTATGTGCATGCGGATGTATAATTTAGCAGGAGTAGGAGGAGCAAAACGGGGCCGAAACAAAAATATAAATAAGAAAGAATATGATTACGTATACGCAACGTGGAACTTCTTTAACTTCAAGTGCGTGAGAGTGTGTGTGTTGGTGTGTGTGTGTGCCTGGTCATTACGCACGTAGCATTTGTATGAATGGAAAAACCACCCCACCCCTCCCCCTCCCCCTCTCCATTTTCCTTGCCGCATCGCTGAGCACATAAAAATAAATCAAGTTTTTCTTCATTTCCTTTGCTGTTCGTCGACTTTTCCACTCCCCCCCACCCTCCTTATTTTCCCTGACTTCTTTTTGTGTTTGCCTGCCATATGCCTTTTTTAAGATTTTAACTTTATGTGGCATACTTACGGGGATACAGGCGGTAAAGGCGGTGCAGGTGGAAAAGCTAACGACGCCGCTGACCGCGTGCGTCCTTAACGCGTTTTTTATGCTAAAACTAAATGAAGTCAAACACGGGCAGGAAACAGAGAAAACAGGTAACAGGTAACAGGTAATGGCAACAGCCAACAGGCAACAGGCAAGAGGCAAGAACGTCGGCAAACAGGAACAGCATAAGCGACAACACATGGCGATAAAAGCGACGGGGCAAACTAATATCTACAAAATAATAAAATGCCACGGGCATCAGCCGCAGACAAGTGTTCAACAGCAACAGGCTATATAACCACAAGTGGTAACAGCATCGACAAAAATGCCAGTAACAGAAAACTACAAGTTACACACAAAAAATAAGGATTCTTTAATACACAATATAGTTCCTTTATGTGAAAAAAGAGAACCAAAATCGATGGTGATTAAATGGGAATAAAAATTAGTAATTATTTGTATCAGTCATTTGGCATCCTTCAATATGTTTAGTTTCTTATAATATTTCTAAAAGAAAATATCTCACAGAATGTTATTTGAAAAGCTTAGAAATATTTTATACATTCCAATTTATATTACAAATGAAAATTACCAAATGTTGTATATGCAGCAGTTCTGCAAAATGAATTGCTTTATTTATCAGCAGACTTCATACAAAATTGTATTATTCAATTAAATCGACGCCCTTTCCGCTCAGTGTAGACAAAAAACAAAAGACAGCATCCAAAACAAACAGTAAAAAAGGCATAAAACCAAGCGCAACAGCCGCAGCGATAGCAATAAAAGTATTTATTTAACCGCATCACCAACAGACAACAAAATCTCAATTAATTTACATAAAAACCACAAAAACAAAACGGCAATATATAAGTTATAAGCAGAAGCAACAGGCAATAACAATGTGTGGAAATATACACCAGCAATAGCACAAATAAATCAATGGAATAATTTTAAGGCTTTGATGATCAATGATCCGAAAAAAGTAATTTTACATTTTTTGTATATATATATCAGCATTAGCCCAGTAACAAAAATATTTCTTATAAACTCGTCTACAAATTAAAGATCTAAAATAAATCTATTTATAAAATCCCTCAGTGTAGTTAATAAAAAAAAACAAATTCAATTAGAAATTAAATCAACAATGTCAATAATAAAATGACAAC